GGCGTTAGACCTCAGGGGATCACTATTAGGATTCTCTGTGGACCATGAATGTCTGTTCAAAAGTTTGTACAACATTCCAGTAAATGTTGAGATCTTTTAGTCCGGACCAAAGTGGTGGACCAGCGGACCAACATTGCCGTTCATAAAGCCATGTTGCTCTTCCCTTCTTCTCCCTTCTTCACTTTGACCTTCTCTTCTTCTCTGTGTTGTATGTACTGCAGAGCTGACGCAGCATCTGGCGGAGCATCTGCTTTGGCAGTAACGTCGTCATCAACTGACCAGATAAAATTATGGTAAATGTAATTACTGAAGTAATGAAGTTCAAACTGTTTGTCGAACAGGTTTGACCTGATGAACCCAATAAGGATTCCTCAATCACAGTGTTTTTAGTTTCCCCCAGAAGCTAGCTAGCTGTTTCCCCCTGTCAAGTCTTTATGCTAAGTCTTTATGCTAAGCTACGCTAACCAGCTCTTGGCTATAACTTCATATTCATCATACTAACTTGAGTGGTATCAACATTCTCTAACTCAAGAGACAAGACAGTGAGCAAATGTCCAATTAACGGTTACCTCATGTCCCAAAATGAGGAACTAAACTTAAACTAGGCCGGCCCGTCTGAAACATTGATTTAGCTTGAGACCTGAAACAAAAAGCTTAAACCTCTAACCCTTTAAAGTCCTGGAGCAATAAAGAAATTAATAGTCAGTACAGATCAGGCCTTACAAAGCTGTGTTAAACACCTTGCAAATCCAGTTATTAGGCTTCTAACCCTGACAGGGTTGAGAAAACTATGAATAAAACAGGGAGCTTAGTAGTTGTTTTGTTGTGCTGAGGATGTTAATGCTAATACTTTTTCTACAGTAACCCACTTTTTGTTTCTCACAGATTGACGATTGCAGTAACAAAGCGAGACTAACAAACAAGACAGCACTTGAAAAGCGATCACAGAGAGACAGATGACTGACTGAGCTGACTCCCTCTGAGGAACACAACTCTCCTCCTCACAGGTTTTCTGTCCCGCTGCCTTATTTTTGTTACATAACGAGAGTTTCACTTCTCCTGATCTGTCAACGTCTTTTCTCCGTAGACAGCAGAGCAAAGAGGCGAGTCTCCATTCACAGTCAACATGTCAGTTTTATATCATCCATAAATGCTGCGCTTTTGTCACATTTATACTGACATGTGTGTGTTTTTGCCATGTCATTCACTGCTCACCCGAAGGTCCATTATTGTCAATATGCATCTGATTCATCATTGGCTTTCTTTTCATCATATTTTCCATGTGAACAGCTTTAATATGGTCTCTGATATTTGGTTTCTTTCCATGTGAAAGGATACAAACTGACCTACTTGTACTGAGCTCGGGACACAGTTCACAAGTTCACCATCTGATTATTGCATCCACACAGATTGGACTGTAGTCAGCACACAGAGTGGTACCACAGAAAAATATAGGACAGATTACATTCCTGGTACACAATTCAACCCAATCACATGACTCAACCAAACACACACACACAAACATAACTTCCTTTTATCAAACGCTGACATATTAAAGAGACTCCCTGTACACAATATCTATTTGCTTTCTCTTCCTGTTTTGAGGAAATAATCGATTTGTGTTAATCTGGCTGATTTATTTAGTTGTGTGGGCGGTTGGTTTCGGATCAGAGTGAAGGATTTGTGAAATATGACTTTTTGATTTTCTCTGATCCCGTTTTCGATTGTAATCCACAAAATCAATACCTCAGAAACTCTGCAGGTATTGAACTTACAAATGAAAACCATTTGGTGAGTTTTGTGTTATACGGGTGTTTGTTAGGGGTCGACCCAAAATACAAATCTTCATCAGGACTGGACACATGGGGACATAAACCAGTCATTTCTCTTTTTATTTTACCTACTAGGGTGAGGTTTGTATTAGTTTTACAAAGTCAATGTTTACAATAGTTTAACACTGAGGATACTGGGCTTTATAATGAATGCTGGTTGTGAATGAATGTTTTGTATGTTTAGACTCAGATTGTTTTCTTTTGTTGTATGGAGTTTATTTAAGCTCCTGGTTTCACACTGAAACACAAACAAAGTGCTGCCTCACTGAAGTGAACCTCCTGCAGGCAGGATCATTTACATCTTAACAACCAGATTTTCATTAGCAGGTGCTGGAGGTGAAGGCATGCTGCAGGAAATCCTGCTTCTTCTTCTCATTCAAAGCTGCAAATCAGCTTCATCACTGTGTTAAAAATCTACCAAACATATCAGTGCCTGCATTACACAAAGTAAAGCAGCTGAGATATGACTGCGGTAAAAGACAGTTGAAACAGTTATCTCACATTAACAGATGCCACAGAATGTAATCGCACTACTTCTTGTGCCATACTCCTTGGCAAGGACTCGAGTGGAGGCTGAATTCAGAGTCAAACTGAATGACGACCACCAAACGTATCAGTACATTAGCAAACCCCAGGCTGTGCCTGTATATCTGCAGTCCCAACATAAAGGCTCCATTTCTCTCGTTGCAGCATCAAGCTTCAAGCCTCAAACCTGGGGCGACCATGGCTCACTGGCTTAAGAAGGTTGTCTGGTGACCGCAGGGTCAATGCTTCAATCCTCGACTGGGACGTGCCACGTGTCGAAGTGTCCCTGAGCAACACGCTGAACCCCCGGCTGGGTGCCTGTCATTGGCAGCCCACTGCTCCCTATATACAGGGATGGGTCAAATGCAGAGGTCAAATTTCGTGTATGTGTATATGACAATAAAAAGGGTTTCGTTCTTCTAAAAAAACCCTTACTTCAAGAAAATCGGTTCAAACCTGTATGAGAAGTACATCTGACTCCAGCTTTCTCATCCATCTCTCAGTTTTGTTTTCTAGTATGTAATTAACTTTTCAACCAGAAAACGGTAAACTTAGTTTTGTTTCTGAAACGGTATCTGAAGATATTGTCTATTGAGTTAAACAGGAATAAGATCACAATATCTTTTCTCAATGAACTTCTAAATAGGAAAATTAAAATATGAACAATTAATAGTCTCAGCTCTTTATTTGACTGCAGCACATTGTGATTATTTTAAAGGACATTTCATCACCTCTGTATGGGGAGGTTTTCTGTATTTCGTCGGGTAAGAAGATACAAGAGATATTTCAGGTGTCTCAGGGAACAGAAAACTTGGACTTCATGTTGTGTGTTAATGCACATTTGTATTCTTTTTGTAAGAAAAAAACTCAATATGATTTTACTACAAATTCTATTGAAGCAAATTTTTTTTTTTTTACTCAAAAGCTCCTTATTAGTGTGGAATGTGTTCTTATATCTCTTAGTTTTATACACTGTATTTTTTTATATTGTCTTTGTGTATTTTTGCCATTTCTTTATAACAGTGACCTCTGTGCTGAGAGAAGCTATCTATGCCACATTCTAGAGAGAGGACAGGCACAAAGGCAGAAATAAAAAAGATCAGGCAGCAGAAACTGTGCAACGATTTAATCAAAAAATGTCCAGGCTTTAGTCCAACAACACAGAATGCAGAAACACTACAAAGTGACCCTGAACACAGGAACTGGGCTGGTATATGGAGTAACTGGCTAATGGGGAAGTGGGAACAGGTGAGCAGAAGGTCTGGCCACTGCAGGGCTGATGAGACAGGTGAAACTAATCAGGGCGGGAGAGACAATCAACAAAGGCGGGAAAGCACACAAAGGGCAAGAAAAAGGAAGTAAAACCAGACAGGACACAAGGGGAGAGTAAAATTACAAAATAAAAGCAGGGGACACTAAACCTGAAATAACATCCTCTAGAAACAGATATTCAAAAGATGCAACATAGTGCAGGTTTTACAGACAAAGTCAGAGGGCTTTGGGCCAAACTGTGACAATTTTAACAAATCTCTGAGTGAAACCTTTCATGTAGAGTGAAGAGAGCTCAGGCCAGCCCTGTGAGGAGTCACACCTTAACAAATAAAATCTCCGTTTGCTCTGTGAAACAGACTTGTAGTGAGTGTAAATCCACTCTGACAGACTTCTGAGTTGTGTCTCTCAGACAACACAGAATACATATCTTGGGGGCTGTTTCAATGTCCCCTCTCCTTCCTTAGAGGAGTAGCTCCTCCCACACCTTTGGTTTAGTTATTACCTTTAACATTGAATGTAATTATAGCCAGAACCCATCACCCATCACTATTCTACAGCTTTGTCGTGAACTTCTCTCTGCGATGCTCAGTTAATAAAACTCATCTGAACAAGAAATGTTTCTTAAACAGTAGCCCGTGCAGTATAAAACACTTCTGTGCACGCAAGCTGTCCTTTCAAATGTGGAAAGAACATTTTTCTCACTGGACACAAAAGAGAGAAATTAATTGTTTAACAGTCGGTCACTTTATACGCTGCATGTAAGAAGACAAAAGAGATCCACACCATCCTGGGATGAAATAATGTGTTTTAAAACATAACAGGCACTTCAGAGTAAAACTCACGGGTCTTTGTGTTGTGGATTTCAACACAAAACATCTGTGACTGACAGGAGCTTTGGTGCCGAGGGTTGGACTATTGTTTATTCAACCTCCCTAATATCCTCGGTGAATTCAGTAACAGATGAGTTCTGCTGATGAAGTGCTGAAAGTAATTTGCATTTTCATGCACTGCAAGTTTGTATCATCAGACAATGTCGTCGCCTGCAGGTTGTCAAAAGCTTTGTATGTCGCATACTTAGATTTGTTGGAACATAAATAATGACATAGATGCATATGGATATATCAGCGTATATGTACATAAGAAATAGTCACCATCACAGAGCACTGACAAGTTTATCTTTCAGAAGCTTTTTTTGTTTATTAAAACAAAAATAAATTAAAAAGGCTTTAGAAAATAAATGATCTTGACAAAATTGTGTAAAATATATAAATGAACCAACAATTTATGAAATAATTGAAGTATTAAAATACATTATGAAATGTGATTTAATCCTTCATTCATAATAACTTGATTGGATATTCAATTTATCGGCCTAAAATAACGTGGTTTTAACGTGGAAGAAGTAAAAAGAGCTGACCTCTGGTTGTGCAGCATCAATTTTGATCCCGACAATGTTCTAGCGGTGCAATGCTAAACGACGGCATACAAAATGATTCAGTGACTAACTGCTGGAAAAAAAACAGTCAACGAGAATAAAACGGACTGTGACGGCGATAGCATGTAGCCCAGAGTCACAGCTCACTTAGTCTCGCTCCACATCTCTGGAGAAAGGTCTGGCTGCACCCATTATCATTCTGCTTTAGGGGGAAAAATGCTCCGTCTTGTTTGTAATTCACCAATCACAATCATCTTGGGCGGCACGACGATGCCCTTACAAAAGATAGGAACTTGTTCTGTTGGAACATTTGCACATGGGGAGGAAAGCAATGTCGATACAATGGTTAATTCACCACAAAAGAAAACACGTTGTTTTTTACTGAGATAACATACAAACTTTGATTATCGGTGCCCTAGAGGTGAAGCCTGCTTATAACTCAGCTCTGGAGGAGCTCACTGGAGACAGATTAATTGCTCGCTGCATCTGGCTCCTGCAGGAACTTAGCTCACTCAACTGCACTATGATTGCATGAGCGAATGCAGCTGCTGCTGGATGATTTCAGAGTTCATGGTCCGCAGGAACTCAGTCAGTCCTCCTGTGAGCAGCTCCTCCATGGGAACAAACTGCAACACCTGACTGTGACGCCCAGACGGCAGATTTCTACCCGAGTCCTCCTGTCCTCTTAACAGCTGACCCATGCGGTGATGGACGTCAATAAGAACAGGGAGCAGTCCTGCAGCAGCTTCGGGGCAGAAACCAGCACACACAAGCACCGTCCCGACTATGCCCGGTGGGGGCGGACACCTGAACGTGACTGAGCGAAAACACGCATGCAGGCAGAGCACAACAGCTGCGGTGACACGGGTAAAGGCAGAAAACACAGGCAGCAGCAGGGCATCCCCAGAGTTCAGTGTCTGCAGGGAGAACACAACACAACCCAGGAGCTGCTGCTGGTACAGCGGATCCCCGTCATGCAGCGGGATGCAGCCCCTTGGAGGAGCTGAAGGCTCCACAGAGAATGTTAAGACTAAATCCCCCAGTTGGCCTTCACAGGCATCCCACACGGAGCAGCTGCCAAACACCAAACACCGTCTCTGCTTTCTGTTCCCATCACTGTCAGCTGGGAAGACCCAAAGACCTGCAACGTCGGACAAGATGGAGGCCGCGCAAACCGCGTGGCAAGAGTCACAGGGAGGTGCGCGAGTCCAGTCTACTGCTGCATCCATCAGGGCTTCGTTCAAGTGGTTCAACAACCCTCCGTCACAGAACGCAGAGTTTCTGATAGCAGGCAGCGCAGCTCCGACGATAACGTACCACGAATCCACACGACACCCGGACAGGGGTCCTTCCAGCACGCAGCCCGTCCCCAAGGCCTCAGCGCAGTGTCTCTGTATCCAGGGGGCATGGCAACCCCTCTTGATGCGCTCCCTCCAGCTCAGGGTCTGCAATTCCCTCCGCTCATTGAAGGAGCCTGTTTGCTTCTTCTGTCCCAGAGGTCGGCCCGCTGAGACGCTGCAGCAGGCGGGACTCACCGTGTTACGAGAGAGCCATCGACTCCGTGGAAGGAAGCTCACCTACACACAGAGACACTTGATCATGTTGGGTTTTAGACTTTTTGAAAGCTCGTATTGCTTTGAACCTCACTGTCCAGTTGCTAAAACATTAAACCTATGTTACTGTATGAACCAAGCAATTGATATCTAAAATTAACCACTTAGGTTTTCCATCTTCTGCAGAGCTGAACATGGGAACAGAGGGAAGGCTCTACATGGGTTTAAACACAAACTGGTGTACCTGCAAAGGACGGCTACTTTTGAACTTCTGGTCTGTTCAGGTCTCATTTTTCGGGTCTGGGTTTAGTTGTTGTAAAGTCTGTTCAGGTCAGGTACACATTTTAAAACCCATGAAGACTCTACACTGCTCTGCAGTTGTTCTGGCCACATTTCTCATTGGGAAAATACATGTAGAAGGACTTCAAATTCAACTGAATTGAAGACTTGAAATTGACCCTAAAATCCCTTAAAAAGTAAAGAAATAAATAAAGTCAAACATCTATAATTCCATAACAACTGAGCAAACTCCATCTGCTGACGAAGACGGTGTTATTACGATCGAAGGCTCTGGAACCTCTACCAATCGTACCTTTGTTTAAATCATTTCTAACTGCTGTTTCAAAGGTGAAGCATGAACCTCTAGACAGACTGGCCTCTACAGACATCCTACCTGGAAGCGCTGAAGGTATTCCTGAGCCGTACAGTCCCTGATGTAGTCGAGACGCTGCCTCTGCTCGCTGGTCATACCTTCAAACAGTCGCAGGTTCTCTGTGATCGTCTCCACCTGCAGCGCGTGGAAGTACGAGCACACGTCCTCATGCTGCTTCAGAAATGACTCCGGGACAAGCGAGTTTGGGAAAAGCGCCTCTCGGTCGGCCAGATGTGGTCCGTAGTTGCGAATCAGTTTGGAGAGCAGGGGCCTCACGGCTTCCTTGCCTTCATAGTTCAGACACACGACGTAAACCTCAGAGTTGCCCGACTTGCTGGTGGCGGGTTTGAAGACGTTGACGGAGCGGAAACAGCAGATCAGCAGGTAGAGTAAGCAGACGGAGGAGTGTTCATATAGGGTGAACATCTTCAGCACAAAGGAGCCGCCGGGGCTCAGGAGCAGCAGTGCGGCCGTGACCTCGCAGTAAAGCAGCGACGCCACCAGCGCCTCCTGATCATCGGGCTTCTCCTGACAGTCAACGCTGCCGTCTGCCGTCACCACGTCAACTCTGCGCATGTTAGCCACAAACGCCTGCAGCTCCAGCAAATGGTTCTGGATCATGACGTTGCCGGTGTTATCTGATCCAAAGAACCACCAGGGCAGCGTGTTAGCGATCAACCGGTCGTCTGCGATCGTCGCGCCGCCGCCGTTAGCCTCGTGGTACGGGTTGAGAGTGTTGGCGGCCCAGCTCCAGTCACAGTAGCGCGTGGACTCGCTGGTTTTGAGGTAGTGGTTCAGGGCGGTTATGAAAGCCCCTGGAGCTTCACACAGGTGGACTGTGTTCAGCTCCCCATTTTGAAGAGCCTCCTCTGGAAGAAGGTTGAAGGTTCCCAGGATCTCAGAGAACTTGCACCAGGCCTGAGTGCAGATCTCCGCGTTGGCCGCAGACCGCACGGCGGCGATCACCTTCCCGGCTCGATTGGTGGAGTTGGTGTGCTGATGCCAGACCTCGACGTTCTTGTCACTGAGCTGGTTCTTGACCTCGTTCAGCGACGCCTTCAGGACCTGCAGCCCGCGGTGCTCCTCCGCAGAGTGGCTCAGAGCGGAGTTTGGGTCGGGGATGCACCACTCCTCGTCTGAAGGTTTCACATATGTTCTGATTTTACTAAAAATACCTTGAATCTCGGTCAGCGTTTCAGGCTCAAACGCCACCGTGTTGCTGAAATGCTGCAGCTTGCAGACTTTCCTCCTGGTCCCACTGCCTGAGCTCATCCTCCACACCTGTTAAAAGCAAGACAAGAGGAGTTCCAAATGATTAAAACCTGCGTTATCCACTTTTGTGTTTTAAGGTAAACCACCAGACTGTTCCGGGTTTATGTGACTTGCTTACATGCCAAAGGCAGTCAATCTTAAGAACAGCCAACAGAACATTTCACAGTGAATTATACATTACAGAGGCCCGGCTCTGCAACCCTTCATTCTTCTCGACATGCATGAGTGGTGTTGAATTACTTATGTCGACTCATTATGATGTGGCGCCCTCAGGCAACCGGGCAGATTGTAAATACTGGTGATTACCTCACCAGGCCAGAGCTTTACCCACAATATCAAGAGGTTTTCTACAACACACGGCCTCCTCTAATACATCGTATCAACACATGAATACTACATAAAGGAAGTTAGATTGAAGGTTTTGTTGTTGTACTGTGGAAGCCATGTATTCAGCTTGGTTGCAGTTTATCCTTTCGACAACCCAGTGAGTTTTTAAATTATTTATCTTAAAAAGTAGGAGAATGTTCTCAACCCTTGGAGGGGCACTTAATTCCTTCAGTTTTGGGGGAGACATTTGGAGATACGTGGTTCTACGAGACGGTTTAGTCGTGTTTGTTTACCAGAATATGACTGAAACAGGACAGTCTGTGATGGTGAGACTGTTTATTAAACCATCACGGTGTCCTGAAACCTTTATTTATAACAATTCATGTAAATATTGAGCAATTTCTTATTCATTACGTAAAAATAATTTACAATCAGAATCAAATCAACCCCGGAGCTAATCCTCGGCTCATGTGCACATGATTTAGAGGACAACACGGGCCACTTCCGGATCACTTCTTGATTAGTCTGCAGTGAGGCAGTGATGTATGGTAATATGTGGCACATGGCTGGCACACTCATCAATTATTCCTCATCAATCATATTGTTAAGCACCACTTGTATTAAAGTCGTCTGCTTCCTGCAGTGTTCCTTTAGCTGCCGTTTACATGAACTAGCAAGAAGAACAGGCTGATGTGACAGTTTAAGCATAAAAGAGATTTAGGAAGGCGATAAAGAGACTTGAGATAAGTTGAGCTGAGTGATAATTAAGTAGGTTTCAATTATTTCTGAATTTATCCTCTCAGATGAGACTGTAGAGAATCTAAAAGTAAAAACGCATACGATGACATACCAATGAATACTAGCTTAGCATTAGTTGCAGGCTTACCAGCTAGAGTCAAATTATTGAAAGAAAATAGAAATGCGAATAATCCATTTATGTTTTTAAGTAATTTGCTAAATACTTATGGCACTTTATTCGTATGTCTAATCAGCTAAAATAAAAACATCGACATATTAATAAAAAAAGACGCAGTAAGACAAACTCTTGCGAACAATAGGATGCTTGAAATGAAACATTCTAGCAACAATGGTAACTGGACTGCTTTATATTTCCTACTGAGCACCATATGAATCTATGTCCACATTCAAAAGCTCTCGCTGCTCACTAAGTCAGAAGCCGAGTCAATGATGTGTGGTGTTCACTGATGAAACTAGGCTGCACGTGTTGTGTTGTCGGGACAGTGAAAAGACACAGAAGCTGAATGGGTCGCCTCCTTCAGGCGCAGTGCGCATGGCCGAGTTGTGTCTCTTAAAGTCGGCCATGAGTGACCTTTTCTGACACTCTTTGCCTCCTAAAGTCTCTCAGAGGTAAACGTCTGAGGTCTGAGGAGCTGTCTGTCGATAGGAGAGACACCAGGAGCCTGAAACCAACTGAACACAAACTCACCGGACTGTGGCTGCTGTCAGGGAACGGAACCACGCTTTCACGTGACTCAGGACAACACTGCGCATGCGCAACGTTGAGAAGGCGGGGCCTCTCTTAAAGGAATATGTCACTTTTTTATTTGGTAAAAACAAAACAAATGCCATCAAAATAACAGTGAAGAGAAAGAGAGGGCAAAAATATTAGCGTCAAAATTTAGAAAAAATACTTATAATGTAGAATGGCGTATTGAAATTACAGGAGAATATACATTATATCATTTAGTTTTAATTATTGACACATTAATGTGTTCATCACTTTCTTGTTACAACTGTTAAAGGTGGAGTTAATTTGAATTGCTTTATTTTCTGCTGGGTAGCATGTGAATTTCCCCCGAGGGATCAATACGTGTGTGTCTTTTATATTCATAATATGAAATCATAATTTATTTGTTTATGGTAATTTGTATTATTAATATCAATCTGCAAAGCAACTAAAGTCATCAAATAATGTAGTGGGGTACTATATATACAGGACAATATTTGCATTTGAATTGTAGTGGAGTAGAAGTTTAAAGTAGCAGAAGATGGAAATTATCAAATAAAGTACAAGTACCTCAAAATTGTACTTGCATTACTTGAATTAATATACTTATTTACTCATCAATATTTCATTTTCGAAGATAGAGGATGCAGTTTTGATATGCTCTGTAGGGATGACAAAGATAATTCCATAAGGTATCCCTATATTTTATTAAAAATTGAGTTATATATTTTTAGAAGGACCTGGCTGCAGACAAGACAGCAGACATGGAACCTGATCTTGTGGCAGCCAGCTTCTCTAGGATGTTTATAGGGATGAAGATGTTTGGCTGGTTGAGAAGGAATTAGTTTGAAAATAAAATGTTATCTTGTATACAGAAATACACATAAGGAAAACATGATTTGCAGAGAGTGTAGGAAGATTAAATAACAGAGCAAATAGGGTGTGATGATTTGAAAAGGACATTTTAATATATATTGTATTGCAATTCAATTCTTCCATCGTTTACAGTCACAAAAAAATCCTTCGGCTGTCAGGTAGCACGAAGCTGCAACAATGAACAATACAGAACAATACACCAAATGAAGCTAGTTATCTCATGAAATCTTACACTGAATGTTAATTCATCCCCAGAATATTTTCCTTTGGTGCTTTAACTAGTTTATCCACTGTTTTGAGTTTTTTTTTGTTGATTCATTAGCACAGATTATTACTATTGATCCTGATTCAGCACATACATCACTTATTGCTTCATTATTCTAATGATGTGGCTATTTGGGATTTTTCTGACAAATGACAATAAGAGAATGACTAAATATAAAGGTTGGCGTTGAACTATTCTAACTTTCATTTTATGAGTGAATTCAGAAGAATTTGAGTCTCTGACTGTATGATCCTCTATTCTACTGGATTTGCTTGTGTGTGCATCTTTCCAGCCAGATTATCCCCAGTGAACTGATCTGTGTCATCATGTTATATAATTATTAGACCTCTCTGCAGTGTGAGCTGATGGAATCTTGGTTTAACGCCATGTTTGAATGGGTTTTACAAACTGTTTGTATCACTGCATTCACTTTCCTCCACATCCAATATACTTCATATCACCTATGCTGCTCAGAATAATTCAGACTTTAATAAGAAATATGTGGCTATGTAAAAACAGGACACTCACAGAAGGAGTCTCATACATAAATAATGGACCTTTGGGATATCCATGTGCAGTTAGGACAAAACGTTTCAACAAATGGTGGGTTTAAACATTTTGTCGGCCAATTTATTGCTAAAAAAATGACACCTCTTGTAATATTAATGTGTGTTTTGTGAAGATATCCTTATAATTCTTAATGCTCCTACAGTACTATCCAAATGCAGGTTGAGGAAGGATTTGAAGAGGTTTGGGGAAAAATGAATAGCTTATTTTGGAAATGCACAATCAAAACTTTTGTTTACTGCAAAACAGGATTTAATTAAAGAATCTATTTAGTACGTTTCTGCAGTCCTATCAACGAGGGCTGACCTTAATATTTGTTTGGAAAGGTACGCAGAGCCATGTAAAAAAAAATGAAGAAACAAATATGCCCTCAGGGACAAAGAAAGCTCTCAATTTACAGTCTTCAAATCAAATACAACAGCGTATACTGTATATCACAATTGATATTAAAGAGATTGGAGGTTTTAAAGGTCGTGTGTGACTATGAAAATAATTAAATGTGCTCTGCAAATGGGAAGAGAGGCCGACAGCATCTATACTCAATGTGGTATATTATTCCTAAAGGGCAGCCACTTCTAGCCAGTTCCCTCCAGCATTCAGTTCACTCAGGTCTCAACTAACAAACTAATTGTGTGACTCAAACACCACCAAAGATATGAATTCAACACTCAACACGGAACCATAATCCATGAAATTGTGCACAGACAGTCATGTTTCCCATGTATCCTACTGACTTCAGTGATCCCCAAGTGCAACCACGAGGTTGACAATTTTGTTTGTTATTGAAATACCCTAAGAACTATTGGATGGATTGCCATAAAATGCTGTACAAACATGTATGGTTCCCAGAGGATAAATTGTAAAATCTTTGATCAGCTGGCCTTTTAAGTAATGTGTCCGAAAATTGGATTAAGACCAAATATCTGCATAACTAATGACATTCACGTCAGACTGAACTGTACTTTGTGTGTAGTGGCGATGAGCAAATGTTAGCATGCTAACATATAAAACAGCATGCTAACTGCTTAACATCAGCATGTTAGCATTGCCATTGTGATGTTAGCATTTAGCTCAAAGCATTCCTGTGACTTGGAGAGCTGATAGCGTGGATGTAGGCTTTTAATTTTGTATTCATTCACTTAAATCTATGCAGAGAACACATTAAAGTGTATATCTATCAGTTTGAGCTTTTTGATACTTCCAGCACCTTATTCAAGATAATGGTGAAGCGGTGGTTATCCTGCATTTACTAGTCTTTTTATTCATAGATATCAGAGGTTCAAGACGTTAGGGACATGACTGTCTCAGTTTTAACTGGTATCTTCTCTGTCTATATGGAATCATTGGCTATATTACACATTACATTGAATCTGTATTTACTAACAGAAATGTACTCAATCAACCATTTAGTTCACCTGTTTTCCTTCAGCTGTTACAACCTGACACATGCATTTATTTTCAGAGGTCCTCTGTGTTATAGATACATAACATTTTAATACATTATTGCATTATTTATTGCAAAAATTTGAAAACACAATTAAGATTTTAACGTAATTTTAACAACTAAATAAATATATCTTGTGATTACATTAAAGGGGACAAAAGTCACTGTGGTCCATATTTCATGTTTTTTTGTCAGGAAGCTTTTTTTTTTTTACCAGAAAAATGTGAATGCTGCAGTCATCACTTCACTGTAATTGGATGGAGAGATAAAAGAAGAAAGTGGCCGAATGAAGCACAATTGTTGCCTGGGTCCAGACCTTTCAATACGCCCACTCCACCAACTTTGAGTTGACAATTCTGTCTGATATCGGGAAGCCCAACTGCTCATGACAGGGAGAATACATTTATCATGCAGTTGCTTCGTTGTTTTTCATAGTCACGTGTGTAAACGCAATGATGTAATTAATTCTGAATCATATTTTTTTCTGTACATATACATCATATCTAACTTCCAAAGCAAATGTAATTAGTCAAGTTTCTGGGGCTTTGTAGACCTACAAATCCTCTTCTTATGTCCGATTTCAAGTGGCATCAGAGTCTCACAGTTTGTTTGTCTCTCTCTCTTTGGTTTGAGAGAGATTTTTTTTAAAAGAAACACATATCAGAGGGTGTGAAATTGAAAGGATCTTTGCAAGTATATTTTTATTTCCATGTCACAGAAATATGCACATTCCAATTTCAGCTTAACTAAACATCTGTTACATTCATTTTCAAATTTTTCTAATCTAATTAGTAGATTGTAAGTAGACTATGAAGTTATCTTGTTCACTGTGCAATTAAATATGTCATTTGTGTCATTAGGGCTTATTTGCACACAATTATTTGTTTATAGATTCAATAAAAAAAGCTATTTAGCAGAGGAGAAACACTGTTAAAACATTTCGAGACATAAGAGCGCTTCTAGTATTACAAACAGGATTTAGTGTTCTCCTGATCTGCTGCACTCACACAAGATGACGGAGGCCTCTCCTTCACCTGAGCTCATTGCCACTGCAGCGATTATTTCACAGAGTTCAGCCCGGAGGTCAAAGATTTGCTGTCATCACTTCAATAAAGGCCTGAGCAGCAAAGTGATGGACGCATGTTATCACCATCACAATGATCTCAGCCTGCTGGTCATAACCTTGAAAGAAAACAAGGTCATAATACATGCACACAACCATGCCATGCATACAATACACCATTAGACACACACACAGTGATACAGTAACATCCCTCTTTTCGTTTGGTCATAAAACTGCAGGCTATCTGCAAATTAAACAGGAGCTTAATAGCTTTTTTTTCATTCTGAACACAAAAGGCATCCAGATTACTATCGGTGTGACAGTGACTGTGAGAGACTACACACACACATACACACACACGTGCATACACGCACACACAGTCAAAGAATCATTCAGGACTCTTGCTGACGCTCTTATCAGAAACAATTAACATTTAAAAGGGACGTTGCTATTAATTTCATTAATTAGGCCTTTGAGAAGCCTTTAGGCCCTGCATTACAAGTAATCTTTCAAAAACAAAGTAGCTACAGGGGACAACATAATAATGAGGACTGGAAATTATATTTCACAGGCAGAGGAAAATGAAAAGGTAATGTAATGCAGAGAATAATGGATGATTTTCAGCCATGCTGGTGGATAGCAGGGTTGGCTGGTCGGTTGGTCCACCTCTTTGGTCCAGACTGACATATCTCAACCATTATTAGATAGATTGAAATGTTGCCCAGACAGACATTCATGTTCCCTTCAGGCTGAAATGTAATAACTTACTGACCTTTCCTTTAGAGCCACCATCAGGTCAATGTTTCAATTTGTTTTCTGTATTCTTCAACCTGTATTCCCATCAGCCTCAACTGTACTTTGTGTTTTGTGCTAATATAAAATGACATTACGTTTGTACGCTTTTATCCACAGCGACTTACAATAAGTGCATTCAACCATGTAGATACAACACAAAACTTGCAAGAACTTGCAAAAGTTAGCATGCTAACATGCTATACTTTGCTTAGTAAACATTATACCTGCTAAACATCATGTTAGCATTATCATTGTGCGTGTGTTAGCATGCCAATGCTAGCTCAAGTCACCACTGTAAGTTCAGCCTCACAGAGTCACTAGCATGGCTGTAGACACCTATTTTAGATTTAAATTGTTTTGGTACGACACAAAGCAATGGCTGTTGTGAAGTCATACATTAGCTAGGTAGGCCATTCTTTAATTTCTGGAGGCATAAAATTATGAAACGAGTTAAACAGAACTTGAGTGCTAAGCTCTTGGTATCCCCATGTCTGTTAGTTGTATTTCCCAGGACTGCTGAGTTGCCTTTGACAGAGAGTGCAGCTGTAGGATTCAAGAAGGAGTTTGTGTGATTTTCAAGGATTTTCTTTTCCCTGCATTTAGTGGATTTAGTCATTTGGCCAGCAGGTTGAAATATAATCCCATGAGCTAAACACAAGTAGAGTATCACAGTTTCAGGTTTTTTCCCTCAGAACATTAAAGCTGCATGGGATGACACATATATACAACAAGCTGAAGCATTTATCAGTAGCTGCTGTGTGTTTTTAGACTGTAGTTCTTATTTTGTGTGTGTGTTCAGATAGATAAGTATGCCCCTATGTGAAGTTAGCATGGCTGATATGTTGCTTTCACCACACCCTACAGATATAGAGCGCCCATTTTCTAGATTTACTGTAAATCATTACTCACTCATACACTAACACACATGTGTGAGCATGTGCACGCTCACAGAGTGCGTGCCGTAACTCCTTTAAGCTGAAAGCCAATAAACAATAAACAGTGATATCCAGCATACCTCAGCCATCAACCTGTGCTCAACGAAAGCTTCAGATGTAAATCACTCGTGTGATTCAGGCCATGGGGAGGTCAGAGGAGAGAAAGGCACTAGACAAATGTAGAGGAAGGATAACAATCATGTTCTTGAAAGAAAAAAAAATCTTTATACTATTGATGATGTTATCATCTGGTACATGTAAACAAGCATTTCAAGGGCACACAATCTATCTATGTACATAGAAAAAGGAGCAATGCCTTGCTTGATAAAACTGTGGCACTCTATCGTCAAAATGATCCCTGGCACCATGATAACAATAATAAGAACAATTTTTTCTTTTATCTGTGTTGCCAACAGGCAATTGCATACATATATGAATGAATGAATGACTATGCAGATAAATAAATGATTCTTCCGTAGTACAATGCTGCCCCCTGGCAGGCATTTGCAAGCATAATGAAGACTCAAAGAGGCAACACTTTGTGAATACTCATCTAATATACTAAAAGTATATCATTGAAAATCAGAATTTGTTGCAAAGCTCCATGACAGCGATGGTGGTGCTCTGTCCAAAGATGAAGACTCCAACTACAACGGTTATGACTCCCCAAACCGATAAAATAACCCTGCAAAGAAGAACAAGGGACAGCAACAGAAAGAAGTCTTTTAACAACAAGTTATTAGGCAACAATTTGAATCTTCTTCCTGACAGTAACAGTCATTAATAAACTTATTTTTTCTTCACACATCCTCATGTTAAAATGGATCTAATGGATATCGATACCCATAGAGGCCTTCCCGACCTTCAAGCCATTTCTATTCTACAATATAAGAGACACTTTTTTTATACGTTGTCTTTCTTTCCTGGGGGACAACACAGTCCAAACTCTAAAAGAAGGACTTGGTGAACTTGAATGGTGATGACTGAGCAGATTGTTGCAGACTGATAACTAGCATCACTTTTGTAATTGTTACTCTGCAGCATGTGACCTCGCTGCCCTGTTTCTATGACCAGCAACTGTTTTCCACGAAACCCCTCTCATTTAACTTGTTTATGGTTTAATTTGCTAAAATTCAATTTTGTAATTTCCAAATAATTTCCTAGAAATGTAATTTGGTACTTATTATAGAAAAAAATTGAAATTTCCTTGCAAGAAAATCTCCATTTAAACCCAGGAAAATATACATTCATTATTCATTCATTATCTGAAAATGTATTTTCCATATATTTTGAATTGCGTGTTTGCCTGTAAACTAATTTACATTCTAGCATTTTGAGCTAAGTCGGCTGTGAAGTGACTCTTTAGGTTACGATAGCAGTTGGAATTAATTAATTGGAAGTGTATCAGTTAAACACTATTTATTTACCCGGTAATTTGTACCAATTACATTGTTCTTTTCAGGAATTTATTTGGAAATTACTAGGAAATAATTCTGAAAGTGATGGACCTTCAAATAAAATAATTATCAGAATAATCTCATGCACATATGAGTCTATAGGTCCTCACTCACCTGACTCTTGGAGTGACAGATTCAGTTTGCATTGTGAACAATAAGCAAAGACCTGTAACACACAAACCAAACTTTACTTGCATAGCACCTTCCATACAGGTGAGTCCAACTCTAAGTGATTTACAGGAAACTAATAATAAGATATAACAAATATAAAACATATATAAATGTAAAGCCATGCATTACACATCATGTCATTACAAGCAGAGATAAATACACATATACATATGTTACGGTTGTTTACATACCAGGAAAAACAAAGATGAAGAAGGCGCTGATTCCTCCGATGACACTGATGACCTCCCCCATGTCGGGGACGAACATGGCGATGAGGAGAGTGATGGTGATCCAGATCACAGTGAGAACTACTCTGCAGCGACTCTCAAACGAATGAGTGATGATTCCCCGATGATTTCTTTGAATACGCAGCATCAGGTTCAGGATGACAGATCTGTCACACACACACACACACACACAGAAAGAAACAACATGTTAGTTGTTAAAACACACACACACAAAACAAACGAACTCCGGTGTCGCTCACCTCCCCAGAAGAAGAATAATAGGATAGATGGTGACGATTGATATTCCAAAAAGTAGTCTGGAGATGATCATGACCACATCATTTCCTGGATATGACATCAAAATATCAGAGGCAACCGCTCGTCCAAACGTCATGAAGCCGTACACACCTGGAGATGAGAGAGGGAGCGAATGTGATTCGCAGCTTTCAGGTGAGCACATAATGCACAGAGGTCGACGCTTTAGAGTTGAACTCACCGGTTAGAGTGTAGATGAGTAAACAGAAAATCATGGAGACCACAGAGATGATCACCCAGTGGAAGAGGTTCTGGTTCTCCATGCTGCTGTAGATCGTAATACAGGCTTCATGGCACTGCAAACACACACAGACACTCAAAGTGACACTAAAGTCAGTTTAGGGGACTTTTTTCTATCAAGTTATCCAGAGTCATGCTGCTTTCTAGTAGTTTTTTGAGTATCTTGAACATTGAATAACTTACTTAGCATACCTCCATACATGGATATATTATATATTATATTATATGGGATACATATATTATCTGCTACTTCTGTTCCCAAAATATGAATATTTGTATTTGGCTGCAGTATGCTACAATAAGTGTTTGTGTATGTAAACAGGAGTTGGGCAAATGTTTAATATGGTCGTACTTAATTAATTGTTAATCATCGTTGATCATTTGACTGTTATCTAGCATGAAAATGAAAAGCAGAAAAAAGATAATAGGCACATTCTGAAAGGTATGCAAGGCCACAAGTAAAAGTACCACAAATCAAATAGCAATAATAGCAACCCAAAATATTAGCTAAAAGGTAGAATGCAAAGAAATGTGTCTTGCATCCATTTCTCCGTTAGGCATTAGCATTCATTGCTCAGATATTTTACGATCAGAAACTGCCAGTTATATTATGACAGGAATAATGGGAAGAGCGCAAAGACCTCCGATGATACGGCATTCGGACCAAAGCACTACATGAAATTAAAATAATTTCCTCATGCTCCACACGCTCATCTGTTATTGTTGGTTGGTTTGTGCTCCTACATTTCTTTGTGCTTTCTTATTTGGACAATATCAAATCCATATTAAACCACTTGAATACCAAACGTCTAACTGACTACTTTCAGACTTAAAAGCCCGAAGTTGATCCTACCTGGAAGCCAAAGCAGATGGTCGGCACGACACTGAACATTGAAGCCCATGAACTCAGACTGAAAAAACAAGCACACACACACACACACACACACACACACATTAACTGATGCACACAATTCAACAGCTATATAAAATGAGAAGCCAATGATGAACACACAAACAGAAATGCATCCATTAAAAACAGTGTTACTGACCCTTGGCTGTGCTCTGGAGTTATTATAACAGTGTGGCTGTCCATCATGTAATATTTGACAATCACTGCCACACACAGATACGTAGCAGCCAGCGTTCCCAACACACTGACATATGGAGAAAACCGTTAGAAAACCTTTAAAAAAACATTTAAATATACACTTTAATAACAGACTTATCTTGACATACTCTTCTATTTTTTGTTTGTTTATCATATTCTATTGTACATTGTCATATTTTTATTTTTAAATAATGTCTTGTACTATTGCACTGGGTTTATTGTGATGCACCAATCAGCAAGCCAAATTCCTTGTATATGCATAAGTACTTGGCAATAAACCGTTTCTGGTTCTGATTAAATCACATGAAGATAAACACTCGACTGGATGTCATTGTGACCACAGATACCTCGTGTATTTCTGGATGCCAATTTCTTTTGGGATGGACAAGGGTAAGATGATGAAGAGGCACATGATGAAGAGTGCAAACCGTTGGTCGGAGTACCAGTGATACGGCATCTCTCCCTCACTGGACCCAGTCACCGTCTCATACAAAGAAAGACTCACTGGTAGAAGTCAGAGTGAAAATTAGAGTCTATCTATATGCTGCAACATGCAGACATAAGAATAGTAGGAATATAATAGAGTCTGCATGCTCGCAGAATTATTTACAGATTCATTTATTTTTTATCTCCTGCCTAAAAGTCTGATTCATGTTGTTTAAATGGCTGCAACATGAATGCATTAACATTGGGGATGAACATAGAGAATAATGAAAAAAAGTCATGCATACGTGTTTAAATCTCACTACAGTTAAATGCTCCATTTGCACTGTGCTCTGTGCAGAATCTCTAAACATTGATGGATTTTTTGGAAGTGGTGTGTTTGTAAATCCAATCAAGTGCTCCGTTTAAAATTGGAACAGAGCAAAAACATTAAAAGGATTTGAAGCATTTGAGATGGACAAAACGACAAAGGGAAAAATGAAAAAAGGGTATAGCATTATTGCTCCCAGTCACATGTTTTTACTCTAAGACTAGCTAGAATGAAAATTAAAGTGCGAATGATTTGTGGTCTGTGAGATTAATTTTTTGATATGGAAATGGCTGCTAAATTGATCACAAACTCCTAATAACATGATAACATTAAAACATTGTGCTACAATACAAGCACAAATATCTTTAACTTCTCACGTATTTACACTGTGGTTACATGTTGTTGTGTGTTTGATGCACACATTTGCAAATATATCTTGTATTTCTCATTCCTTGTTTGTGTTATGCATGTTGTATTCTCTGCATATACTCTGTTATATATTGTACCAATATGTACATCATTTAGATTTTATTTTACATAGTCCTATATTTACATTTTGTGTAGTCTTGTATTTCTATTTTTTCTTATATTTATTTATGCTTATATACAAGAGCAACTGCAATGTACAAAAGTATTTCTGATTCTGATTTATTATTTAACAGGTGATAGCGCCATAAAGGCTGTTTAGTGTGGACAAAAGTTGAGTGACAATGGCTCTAAGAGACAGGATAAGTCTTTGACAGTGTCAAACAGAATAGGACATTAAGTCTGTGATGAACTGGTTGGAGAAATAATGTTTGGATAAGATGAAGTCTTGTCAATTTAATCTGCAAACCTTCAAATAAACTCTTGTCCCAGTTTTGCAGGGTTTATTAGACATTTTAAATACCACACAGAATGCAATTTAATACCTGATTAACGGTCATACCTGAAAGTATGATGTAAAACCAGTCAGGACAATATGGCCCAGAATTATTCATTATCATAAGCATCCAATACAATAGTTCCGAATGATATAGTGAATCGCTTTAATGTGAAAGGACACAGATAAGCTGCATAACATGGATGGATATATTCCCCAATTAAAAATATTTAAGAACATCAGTTCAATTAATTATTTTCCACCTTCGACACTGAGCTGCTGTAGCTAACAGAGACAGAGCAGAAAGATGATACGAGGGAGTGAGAGATGCAACGAAGGTGATTCAAACCCGGGGCATCACGGTTTATGGATACTTTCTTTACAGAGAGGTGAAAATAAAATGAAGGTAGGAGCCTGTAAGCTACAGCCATTGAACAAGTGGTCCATTGTAAGTAACGAGAGAACCTACATCGTGAAAATAATATAACGTCATTCAGCCCTTACATTTCTCCAGCTGGTCCTGAACCACCACCAGGAAGGCGACACATATCATGAAGAGGTTGAAGCAGAAACAGACTTCACAGAGTTGACCCACAGCTCCTCCACACACCTCTCTCACCACATCCTGATACGTCTTCTGTCTGCTGACTGATGAGGCATAGCCCAGGATGACCAAACCACTGATGAGGAAGACCAGCGAAACCTGCAGGACACACACCATGAACGCATCCTTAAACAACGGGCCCCATAAAGATCATTCTGCCTATTCTAATGCAGGTTCCCTTACTTGTTTTACTTTGAAAGTAGACTGTAGATGTAGTATTATAGGAACATAAACAGGAAAAGGACTCAAATTGAGATCAAGAGCCATCAGAGGCTCCTTCTAGGAGCCCCAGACCTCTTGGGCCTGTTCTTGGAAAGTCAGAATGCAAATCGATCCATGACACACACACACACACACACACACACACGCGCGCACACACATTTTCTGCTGCAGTGCAATGAAAGTTCGGGGCCTCACCTAAACTGGAAGCTTCATTAGAGCTCACCTGTGAAAAAATGTGCCTCTTTCACACCAGGGAGAGACTGAGGGGTGGTGAGTCGCTATGGGCACATCTCAAGTCTCTTATTTGTCATTCCCTCGTTTCCTCTCTCCTCGCATGGTTTCCTTGCTAAGATGCAAGGAAAAGACGCAAGTGAGGGAAACGAGGATGCAATTAAGAGACTTGGGATGTACCCTATATACACAGTCTGCAGGCTAAGCCAAACTAAGCCCCCAAAAGCTTTTGACGAGCAAGATATATAAAGAAACAGGTCAATACAATGGAGGCATTTGCTGTTAAACGTTTCTAATAATCCCATGAACGTATATTCATGCAGGGCCTTTAATATCAAGCCTGTATTAAACAGTACACTTAACAACAGCAGTTGGTCAGTTAGTTGTTTAGTCCTCACCAGCTCCACACTGACGGCACTAGTCACTCCCCCCGCCTTCTGGAAAGCCCAGGGGAAGTTGAGCAGTCCGGCTCCGAGCGCAGACTTCAGCATGATGAACACCGCGCCGAGCGAGCCGAGCCGCGGCGGGTCCGCGTGAGACGAAGACCGGGCCAGCAGGTTGATGCTCTCGCGGGCCAGTTCCTCCATGATCCTGAACAAAGCTCCGAGAGTCACGGCACCGGGAGGAGACGCTTTAACTGATGCTCTTCAACAAAGACTTTCAACAACTCTCCCAAAGTAGTCCAGGTGTTTGGTTCATCCTCCTGAGTGGGAAACCATGCAAATATATAGCCTACACCCACGCGCACACACGACTCACGTGGTATAATTGGACATTTTGACTATTAAACATTTCACTCTGAGGTGACAATTGTGTCACTAAAGTGTTAAAGTGTGTATGTTTGATTGTGTTCTCTCTCTCTCTCTCTCTCTCTCTCGCTCTCTCGCTCTCTCTCTCTCTCTCTCTCTCTCTCTCTCTCTCTGTATCTTCCAAACCATGAAGGAACATTATAAAGCATAAGGTAAGTAATAGTTCAAGTAATGTGCAATGTCAGCGTGGCTGGATTAACCTTCTAAAGGCGCTCCAGTGCAGAAATACTGGCCCACCTGGTACTCACATTTAGTCTCTTTGTGTTTTCTTTGTACATTTATTTTGAAGAGGGACAAGTTAGTTACATTTGTAAGCAGAAGTAAATCCAAAATCATCCAGCCTCAGTGGTAATTTTAACAAGTAAACCCAAAACTGAAATAATAGAATGTGTCAAAATTATATTTCGAATAACCACATAATTGTCATAAAAGTCCTACATTTTATTTTGACTGTTGAGCGTGTTGTGAGCGTAGATGTGCTGTAAAACGTTTGAACTGACCAGTAGTTGTTTACCTAAAAACGTTAAAGATATTACACAGATCATCAGGTCATTCTTCATAAACGTATTTCCAACATTTCAACAGCTAACTAGCCTTCTGAGCAAAAATAAAGTTAGTTACACAGATGTTATTTATAATAGCATGAAATGACATAAATATAAATCATAAAGACACAAAAACATCAGAATCAAAGACAGCGGAACAACTCCTTTAATGGAAAATTAGCCATGATGTCAGGTTTGTCAGCTGCAGCAACTATTTTTTACTTTTCATTTCTTCATTACTGCATATTTATTTCATGTATTTACAGAATCATAGATGTAAAGTCGGTGTACAGTGCAGCGTACAATGTTGTAGCATTCGTAAATGTGCTAGTAAAATGAGGTCCCAGGCATATGGATAGGATAGTACAATCTGCTACACATGCATGGAATTCATAATCTCAGCCATGTTCCATGCTACACACCATCTGTTAGAGAACATTGGTCAAAATCCGTTAACATTGTTCTAAAATCTCACTGACTTTTAGCCGGCAGGAGGAATCTTTCTGAAGAAAAATGTACTTTTGCTTGTATCTTGAGAATTTCAACAGCTGGGCGCAGATTGTGAGGTCTTTGTGGCACCTTAAAAAGATTTCATGGTGATGTTGCAGATGTCTTTCAAGTAAAATGCAGGACCAAGAGAGATTAGAGTGAGCAGGCGCACCAAGGTGTTCTGGGGACAATTCAAAGACCTAGTTAGTTTTTCCTCCAGGCTGTTTTCAGAAATATCTCAGGATTCCACTTTTAAAAAACCTTATACATTTTTAATGAAGTTACCCAAGATGATGACAGTCATTATATTATTTTATTAAAGGATGTGGATGGACCATCAAAAAGAAGGTTTAAAGAATATATGACTTGACGTGCACGTTCTCATTCTCATGGCATCAAATACCAACGATGTTTCACACACTTCGGCATCTGATGCAGACAAAGCACCCTTTAGTGTCTGTATGAGATGCTCTTGGCTTTCAAGTTATTACAATATAAACCCATCCATGTGATTATTAGACGCACAGAGAAAATACTCTGGGTGTTTGAGACCAATGCTGAGTTTTTATAAGTTACTATGTTAGTGATGTTAGTGATGTTTGTGACGCGCTTTCCTCACAAGTTGTTTACCTTTTAATGCTTCTGAACCCAACCATGATGTTTTTTCTCAACCTAAGCAAGTGCAATAGGTCTGACAAAGCGTCAGTATGTGACGAGTTGGAATGAGAACGTGTTGGACCTGACAGAAAGTGAATCCAGAGCAATTTGCTTTTTTTGGCAGTCTCAATAAAATATATATATAAAAACAACAAGTTAGTCTGGTAGACTGAAATGCAGTGATATAGAGGCCTGGAGCCCTTCACTAATCTTCATTAGTTAGTTGTCTTGAATTATCTTAAGAAAAATTACGAAAATAGACACAACTGATGTTTGCAGGTGTTTACAACTCTACAGGGACACTGCCTTTAGATTCCTACTACAGTAACACCTTCATATCTGTTCATGTATCATGTGTAAAAATCAAACCTGGTCAATATATTCATAGAAGCTCTGACTGAGTCAGACAGCAACAGATTTGAAATCCTCTCTCTGCTCATGGTGACTTGCCACGTTTTGTCGTCATGAACAAATCAGGGTTATAATCTGGTTTTTAAACATGTAGACTGTCAGTAAAAAGCAGACAAGGCCAGAGACTTTTTGACACACAGTCTAATTTCAGATTGAAAATCAGGTACGTCGTGCAAATTGTGTGCAAACCGCATCTGAAGTCAACTGTGAAATCTATGAAACAGCACTATTTAAATCAGCCATTTAACCTGTGAACTTTGGGTGACAGAGGCTGCATGGTGGCATTTAATCAGTGTAACACATGAACACTTCAGCAGAATATAAAACAGGACGTCCACCCGAGGTTTCAGTGACCGCTGCAATAACTTCTTAAATTCAGCATGCTGGAGAAATTAAATTATCACCTCCGACCTTTAGATGTCATACCTTCATGTTCAAGTTATGACAATGCTGACACAGCAACACGCCACACAACTAATCATTCATTTCCCACTCACAGTATTTAATGCTCCGTGCTCCGAGGGCACTAAGACTGTCTTCAAGGGTTTCGAGGTGCAACCTGCTACACCGTGGACGAATAAAGACACACAAGATTAATCTACTCATGATTCTGCTGTTATGAAACAGCTTAAGAGTATTAAGATCACACACGCACACACACACACACACACACACACACACATACACATACAACTGACTCAAAAACCGATGACATAAAAGTAATAGCTGCGATTTAAGGAAAATCACTCGGTGTTGTTTTTATCAGTGCACCTTTAATTTAAGTTTTTTGTCGGGTTAAAGTCAGAGTTAATCAAAGAGGCATGTTTCACTCTATACTGCTGTGAAAAAAATGTAATAATACAAATAACCAGAAAACAATACAGTAAATGAATTGGTATTGTGAAAACCATTGAATAAAATGCAGTCCGTGTTTGCAATAACAGCTCCGAAACAAACAAAAGTTATACAACATTAAATAACTTTATAGCAACTGTTAATGCTATAAGGATGAAACTTGGGAAACACTTGGGAAATGTCCCACTCCCTTCTTCCTTATCATCTTATTTTATTGAGAGTGTGTGCTCTGTGTCCTTTTTAATTGCTCCACATGGGATGCATACAATTATTGATTGAAGTGAAACATTACATGACAGAATAGAAAAAGCAACATATAACTGCTTCAAGAAGGACTGGAAAACCACTGGAAGGGTCACATGAAATGACACAGTTTGAACAAGCAATGGCATTTTTGCAACATCATGCACACACTGCAAAGTATATATGCTCCCACACAAAATCTAATTTTCGGATATTAAACTGCTCAAACAGGATGATGAATTAAACTGCACAAAAACACAGTTTGGCAGCTTGTAATAATACTCTACTCTGGATCATACCTGATTGGATCACAAGCACAGATGAACACCTGGCATCCCTTAAAATCTCTTTTGTCCTAAAAAATCCGGCAGTATTCCTGATGTACTGCAGTAGTGACAAAAATAAAATGTTTACAACAAATATTAGCTTTTAATTTTAACTTCGAGATCTGTCTTTCAGCTAAGTTATCTCAGTGAGTGGGCCTTCATCTTCATTAACTGTTCATCACTCCAGCCTACATAATGTGACCAAGCAACAGTAGGCAATGTGAATTTAATCACAATCAATCATCCGCTCATCTTAAGTGACACAGTTGAATATTTGTCAGAATGAAAGCAACTTCTGTGTCAACTTCTTTCTGAGAGCAAATGCCTAAATAGATGCCCCACCTTGTTTTATTTTTTTCATTTGTCATCCAGTTATCGAACTCCTTATTTTAGGATCAATATGTAATCATGATGAGTCTTACTTGTGACGAGTGTTTACCCTTGCGTGTTTGGATGGTGGAGGGAGCTGGACGCTGACGACCAGCTGTCTCACTGAAAGACTCATTGAGTTAATTAACTCCTGAGCAGAAGTAGTAAGGTGCTGGAAACAGGGAACAACAGTGTGCAGAAGGTGGGGCTGTGCTTGTTCGTTTGCCCCTTCAGTTTATCCTGGTTGGTCTGGTCGGAGGTGGGGGGTCTCTGGGGTGCAGGCACAGTGCTGGCTGGGAGGGCGGTGCGGCTGGCGCACATGTCATAGAGGTTTCCAGAGAATTTCGTCTTCCTGGACTCTTGTCTTAGAGACTCCCAGACAGCTGCTGCTTCACCAGGACAGCCGGCCAGAGCCGAGTTGGCACAAACATGGAACTCATTCCAGGACCTTCAAGGAACCAGGACATGAGGAGATATCAGTGAAGAAATGTAATGAATGCAAGCCAAGATACAGGTAGAACACAGCAATACAGTGATGGGAGTATGGGTAATGCCTCAGTAAAAATGAGCCTCTGGCTTAACTCTTCATGTTGCTGGTCTGGTGTTAAGTTACTTTTCTAAGTTATAATCCTTAACCTTTTAGCCTTTGTTTATTTGACAACACCTGTGGTTACTGGTGGTGATGGCTGGTACGTTTTAACAGTACCAGTAAATAGAGAGTGCCATTCAGGGGAAGTAAACCTGCTGCAGCTACTCTGTCAGAAAAGCAACAGAAGACGAGCATTGTTTAGTGCGTAATGTTTTTAATGGAGAAAGTAAAAGAAATGATGCGAAGAGACCGAAGAGTCTGAATCTAAACAATAAAATGACAGGCCATAAACCCAAAACAATGATTTAAAAGACTGCTGCGTCATCAGGCGATAATTCTCTGTGGGTTCGTCACTGCGAGCACATGTTACATCCATTGTGACATAACAAGAGTTTACAGCCATGAAAGCTCCGTAAGTACTTGTTGCTTTAAACTCCATGCTAACATCAGCATGCTAACATGCTCTCAATGATAATGCCAATATGCTGACGTTAACAAAGTATTATGCTCACCATGTTCACCATCTTAGTTAAGTATGCTAACATTCGCTAGCACAAGAAAGAAAGTACAGCTGAGGCTTTTCATCCGGTTTGCAGGCATTTCACAGCAATCAATATTTGTTGAGACATTTTACAAAAATCTAAAAATGTCAACCTCTTAGTGGCACAAAAAGAAAAATTCAGAGGATCACTGAGCATGCGTAGGATTAATCATACATGCAACAGTTGTTGACCAAAGAAGTGGACCGACTGACACTAACATCCCTTGCGCCACATCGCTAGCGTGTCCAATACGACTAATCATTATATCAACTTTAAGAATTGTAACTTTAACAGTTTGAGACAAGATGTATCAAGACAGACAAGGCGTTTACTGGATGGTTACCACAGTGTTGGGCAGACACACACCTGCAGATTGAATCAATGTCCTGCATGCTCTGGTCTTTTTGTGTATCCACAAAACTGTCTCCAAGTGTGACTAAACACTGAGCAAAACTCTTGTAGATGGAACCACATGAATAGGGAATTGCAGCTCCGGAACACACAGTGACCAGGCCTAATGGAGCGGAAGAGACAAGAGAAAAGTATATTTACAATTTGAGAAAAAATGTATAAAAAGGGGTATCGACATATGAATATGGGGAAGAGTTAGGGATGAGAGAGAGAAATACAATGTCTAGATTCTTTGGTTCGGGGATTTCATCTTGTGGAGTGAAGCACGTTGTGTTCATAGAGACATGATCCATCTGGTGCTTAGATGGATCAAACAAATACAGAAATATGGGTATAGTATGTAGTATTCCATTCATCTGGACGGATTATACAACCTCAAAGCCAAATTCAGTGTAGGACTGCAAAACCCGGCGTGAGCTGTCTGAGTGCATTGATCAGCTCATACGTAACATGTCCCTCTGAGCCTGGTTTGAGTTGAGCCACTGAAATCTTACTGAAAAGGTGTGAATTAAGCTTTGACTGGAATATTGAGACATTGATTTGGAATAGAGGACATTTTTGCATTAACTCGATCCGTACATGAGGCTGTGGTGGTGTGTTTTAGTTGTCAGGCTCTTCCTGTGAATAGAACCCACACAGTTGCTTTGTTGTTGGCCTTGAAGACATCTGAGGACACATGCAATTATCAGCAGCCGTTTGGTAAACTGTTCCAGGATCAGAAGTGCACTACATGGCGAAAGTATGTGGAAACATGAGTATAATACACCTCAGTCTAAAGCCATGGATATTCATTTCTTTATGATTACTATTGACAGACGTCAGACATTTATCGATACATGTGTGCAGATCTTCTATCCGACTTCTACCTTTAGTTATCTGGAGCATTCATATTTCCCTTCATTTTAACTTGAGCATCAAAAGCATCAAAAGCATCCAAAACATAGAAAACAGCCTCAGACCTAAAGGGAGCAGGAGTGTCAATGTACTTTTTGCCACATCGTTTAAAAAGGGAACCACAAGTAGCAATTACCCGAAAGTCATATTCATCTTTAAAACCATATGTATTGTTGTAATTATTTGAAAATTTCCCTTCTCTATATTTGCCTTAATATATCAGTGGGTAATTATTTTATCTGCTGTATCTTTAGCTTTAACAAGTGATCTTCCCTTTTTCCTGTCTATGCCCCAGACAGATGAGTCATGGCGAATTCCAGGTGTGATTCAACTTGTTCTGTCCTGATTGCTGCCTCAAGAGTTTATTAATCACGCATGAATAGACATTGTTCAAAACTGTTTTTTGTTGTTCATTCTTGTTGTATTTGCATGCTTATATTTGTCTGCGTTGTATCGGGATTGTTAATTCATTGTTTATCCGACGAGAACGTTTAGCTTAATTTTACTGAAAAACATTTTGTAATTCTCTTTAGATTCATTTCCCACAATGAGTCTTTTCCATTCATGAAGATGGTTCTTTTTCTTCTGCAGAACAATCTTACTGGAAAAAAAACCTAGAAAATAACATAGTAGAATTCACACCTTAATACTAGATGTATCTAAAATGCACACAAACGGGAGGCGAGAGCAGGAGACAATCAGAACATGAGGGGACAGTGAGCATTTCATTAAGGTAAGTGCATTTGTAAAACCTGTCTCTCCTCAGTTTCAGAACAAGCTAAATGCAATATTCCTTATCAGTCAACTTAACTACTTTGGAGGGTTTTCTGGCCAACCTGCTAAAATTCCTCTGATCAACCTGAGTTTCAAGACATATGTGCATAAAAAAAAAGACACATTTGGAAAACTGTGTGCAACATAGGACAGGCAAGAGCAAACTCAGCACTTACAAATGTTTCCAGAAGACTTAAATGCACGTAGTCAACACACAGACAACGATTAAAGAAAGGTCCTTACTGAGGCAGAGAGCGATAGGCAGCAGCATGATCGCCATGCCTGGTTGGGACTTCATCGTTGGTTCCACGAGTCCCACCTCTGAACCAGAGGTGGTGTGAAGCTCCCACTGACTGCAAGTCCAAAGAGTCCAAAGATGCTTTAAAATTTGATGTGATCTGCCATCCGTTGGGAATTCATCAGATTGCAAAAGCACAGCAATGCACAGTGGCACAACCCGACTGGATTAACTGTGAAAGGGGTTGTTGCATCGCAGAGAGTAAGAGGATGCTGTGTGCGTGTGTGTGTGTGCATGCGTGTGCACTAGGGAGGGGCACAAGGCGAGAGCCATCGAGAGCTCGGAGGCAGCAGACCGATGACAGCATCACAACTCAGCACACTGGATTAGAGAGTACTCATTTCCGGTCTTTTGTATTACGTACATTTATTTGAAACACAAATCAATTATATACATCATAATTTTTACCACCTCTGCCTTGTTCACACACTTACCTGCTGCAAAATCCTGATTTTACGACTGAACAAGGAGTTTGTCACAAAGGAAAGTAGAGGGAAACATTATCAGAAGTGTCAGGAGGATTTTCGTTTTCATGTGGACAGATGGATGGAGTCCCACTGAGGATAAGAGAATCCAGCTCACCTGGGAGTCCAACACAGACGCAAAGCACTCTCTGAGAATAGCAGCGACCCATGAGGATCATCCACAGCTATGTGGGTCATGACGGGTTATTGAAGAGAGCTGTATGTGTTAAACACTCACACACACAGAGACACACTACACATGCAGACCCTCATTTCAGATGGGTGATCGTAAACCATCTACCTTGTTCGCAACTTTTCTTAGTTGAGATTGTGTCTTCCATCCCCCTCATCTTCCTCTCGGCCTCCAAATCCTCTGCTACGCCCCCCAGATGGTTCACACTCTGTGCATTAGTTTAAGTCCCTGTTCACATCTGTATACTGACACAGGAGGAATGCTAACCCATTGTTAATCTGTGGCTTAAAAAACAGCCATTAACTGCAGAATAATCTGTCTGCATCTGAAGCTGCTGGCCTGAATCAATACATCATGGGAACGTCGGCAGCAATTCCAGCTGTGCTTCTTCCTGAAAACATCAGTTTTTTGTACTTTCTTACCGTACACAGATGTGCTCAGGATCGATCAAGCCGGATGTGAGTTGTTTGTGAAACACGACTGTATGTTGAGGTCATTCCACAGGTTTTCAGAGATATTTGATCTCTCTGGACTTTTGTTGTTGTTGCATGTTCATGCATCTGTCCTCATTATAATGATTTACAACAGGAAAGGGTGTCATCTTATTGTCCCTGTTTCTATATAGTATTTTTACTGCAGCGGAATCATTAAACTTGTCAGGTTGTGTCAGAGTGTCCAGATACAGATGTGTGAAGTGTTGCATTCATTGTCCTCCCAGCACAACCAGAGAACTCAAAACACTAACCAAAACTCATCTTAACTGGGCCTGTTGAATAGGGCCTGTTCGGACACTTGAAGTGTGGTCTACTGAATCCCAAATTCTGCAGCACACGTGTATGACTTTACCACATTTGTATTTCTTGGACCGCAGTGCAGTTTTTCTGCTCGAAAAAGTGGTGTCATCTGCAGAAACACCCTAATAATATAGCTTGGGCTAGATGTATTGTTAAAATTCATACATATATATATATATCAAGGTCCCTCAAGTGTATCTGGACAGTTTCAGTGATACAGCATCAAAAATAAAGGAAGCTATTTTTTAGATATTGCCTGAACACAAGCAACTGTACAATAACTGTATCTAAATAAAATATGAACACTGCAACATGCAGCATTTTGATTGAAATCTGTAACTATCTGATGACGTAATAAGAAAGGCCCAAGCCTAGCGCGACCTGAACGCTTCATTAACTTTAGTGTAAACGGTATTAATCAGGACAGATACGACAACCCTTTAAACGCGGCAGCTCGTGCTGTTCTACGTGGTTCAACAATAATGTGTGTATTGTGATCATTGTAAACTAAAAAATTATCCTACGACAGACTGTGGGTCTGATGGTTTCTACAGCAGACAATCAGAAGGCTTAAGTCTTTAGATAGAAAGGAATCAGAAGAAATTAGATTTTATACAGTGGCAACCACGGCTGTCCGGCTTATGCAGTCCGATGTCAAAACACCGGGCTTCAGGATTACATATTGCATACACTGCAGTTAGAATGTAAAGACTGTTTGGTGAATGGCAGCGGCCATTGAAAAGGAAGATAGAGTGAGTAAGTTTGATCGACAGCGCTGGATTAAGGCATTATGCAACACTGTTGGGAGTAAAAAAAAAAAAAAAAAATCCAGATGAGATTAGGATCTGGATCCTCGCTCTCTGTCTGTCCATTCATCCGGCTCTCCCTCTTTCTCCGTTTCATGCGATGCATTAACACAGCAGGTGTTCAAAATGCCGGATTTTAAATTTGCGTTGAGTAACAGCTTTACAATCACATGAAGACATTCAACATTTCACTGCTTTAATAGGAGTGACAATGAAGCAAATGACCATCCAAAGCTGCCACCACACACACAAACAGATGAATTAGGCCGTACAGACGGGAGCTAAACCTCCTGCTCTTCAAGCTTTTATGCCACCGCCATCTAGAGGGAGAAAGTCACGCTGTAACATCCGACACACTTTACCAGCCGTTATTGTCTCCTATCAACCTATGAAAAAAATCAAGGAAATAAACAAAAACAACCAGACACTGTAGTGGTGCACTCACTGAAACTAAAGCGGTGAAATCATAGTTAGATAAGGTGATCACTTGGATGTGGTTTTTCAAATGTGAGGATTTGCTGCTTCAATAAACTACCTGTCATTTTCTTTTGTAACTGTTGACCAATGGAAGAAATCAGAGGACACATTTGTATCCTCTGGTGTCTCATAATGGCCACTTTTCCTGATTATTGGATATTTTTTACGGCCTAACCAATTCATTGATCTGCTATTGTGATCCCTGCATAAATCCATAATGACCCTAATTTACAATATTAACACAAACATGAACAGGAGTATCAGTGCCTTTTTGTTGTATCTCAACAAATAATTCCAAGTACAAGTTGATGGGTTGCACACTTCATCACATCGATCACATTCATCTTAATAAGGCAATATCTTTATCAGGACACTCTCTTAACACTGACGGAGTCGCTACATGTTGAGTGAGGCTTTCAGCACCAGGTCACCCAAGAGGGCAGCAACCCTGAGATTTGAGTGTTTATGATTTGGGATTTAATATGATGCTCAACACAGCTGGAAATAAATAATCCCAAAACTTAAATTACTGAAAAATCTGCTCTTCTTTCCTAAGAAAAAGTCCAAACAAGAGCCCAAGACAGATGACTGCGACCCATTTGGGTTGAGCTACGAGCTCTCAACTTGAAGGTAAAAGCAATAAAAAAATACTCCGGGACCTTCTGACTCATCACTTTGTAACTGTGACTGGGATCAAATCAGGAAAACATTTCAGGAACTGAGAAATTATTCAGTGGAAATCAGCACTATTTTGAAATGAAATTTACTTCAAAATGAGAGCATAGCCGTCAGACCAAGTTCAAAAATCAGAAATGTATGCAACTGTGTATAAAACACTGGTGTACAGGACAGAGAAATGTAGCCACTAAACATGTGAGGAGAAACATCCAATGAATCACACTGAAACAAGCAGGCGCTGTTTCACAGACCCTTCGCAGACAGACATGTACTATAGTTGCATAAAGTATCTGAAGTATTTGTACTTCTCTTAAGATTTTCTAAAAACCCAAGAAAAGGATGAGGCAATGAAACTTAATGCATGTCATCAAGAAACACACTCCGATAAGATTACATCTTTTGAGTCCCCTTCAAGTGTTAAGGAATTCCTTTAATTCCATTTTCTGTTGATCAAATGTCTTTAGCAACAGACATAAAAGGAAAACAACTTAAAAGGCAACTCAGATAAAGTCATTTCATTGGCAAGTGTGCCGAGAATAGTGTCTTGTTCACAATGCATCCTAGATGCTTCATCTCGGCATACTTTACCTCTGCACATCTACAGCGAGGCGGTTCTTGCAACAGCCGCCTAACTTAAATTCACAAGCAAGGAAATAGACACATTAGAAGAGAAATCTTAAAGACAAAAACATTCTATGCAACTAGGCAGTTGTGAGCATTTTCCTCATCAGTCAGGTTAGAAGTGTGTAAGCCTGCCTAAATTGTAAGTCAGTGCAAACTTGAGTCTTGGTTGAATGAATACAATGCTATCTTGGTTTAGCTGTATGTCAATAGTGGACTGTGCATGATCCTAAGTAGTTAACCATGGTGGTGCTAGTATAGCCTAAGCTACATAAACTAGCCAGCCAACTTCGTCTTCACCACAGACCAACGAAAAACCAGCTCTACTTGAAAATACATTGTCATCGCTCGTGGTTTTATACAAAATAGGTCATAATCTGCGGACTTCAAAACTCCTCAGTGTCATCTCCGTTAGTCTGAGTCTCTGTAATGGGTCGTCTCCGGTGATGTTCACCCATCAGATTTTCTTCCGGACGCTAAAAGCCGCCGAGTTTCCGTACAGCAGCCGGTCCCGCTCCCGCACCTCCTCCTGCAGCTTGGCCTCGGACACCCGGAGCTGGCGGATGGTCGCCTTCATCTCCTTCATCTTCACCTCCATCAGTGCGATGATGTCCCGCTGCTCGTTCAGTTTCCGCAGCAGCTCGGCCGACGTGGTGCCGGTGGTCAGAGAGTACGAGTGCTCCAGCGGGCTGCTGGTCACACTGACGTACTGCGCGGGCGGCTGGTGCGCGATTTCGACCGATGAATATTCGGCGGTCAGCTCGTCGCTGCCGACGCTGTAACAAGTCCCCTCGGACTGGGCGGGCAGCCGCGCCGTGCCCAGGTACTCCCCGTTCTGGCCTATCTGCACCACGGTGATGCTGTCGTCGCTCGCCTCGCCGCCAGCGTTACCCTCGGCCCCTTCGGCCGTGCTGCCCAGGGCGTTGGTGAGCACAATCCCGGAGGTCGCTGCGGCGGCGGGGCCAGGAACCGCCGCGGACACTTTCCTGCCTCTGCCCCGCCGACTCCTGCGCTCGTTTACACCACGCAGAGGGAAGAGGGACGGCACTCGGATGGTGTAGGTCTTCCTCCCGCCGGCGAAATGCACGCTGCAGACCCGGTGTCCTGTGGTGGGTTGGAAGGTGCTGAAGCAGCCGCTGACCCCGGCCCGGGAGATGTTCCTCAGCCACAGCTCCCTCAGCGTGGTGTCTTTAGGAAACGTGTAGAAGCGCAGGTCCCGGTCCCGGTGCGAGTTGTTGTAGCACCCAGGAACACAGCAGGTAAACCCGGGCATGTTTATGTCAACAACGAGGCCAAAAGCACGGTCTTCAAATGAAGTTTAGCTTATTTTATTGTTGTTTCTTTATTCTATACGTTGTTATCAAGCTCAGTGGCCTGCAAGCGGAACTACACGTCCCACAACGCTAACAACTTCCTGTTTATTTTTCACCAAAAGTAAGCCGCTTTTCTTCGTACGACGATTGAATCCACCTTAATTTATCCGGACTCGACGCATGCGGAGCTCTTACTTATGCTGATATTTTATTTTCGGTGGTAAATGTCTCGGTTTGTTCTTCGCGGTGTTATCAAGCCAACCGTCCTCCACTGAGAACTAGAAGTCCCATAATGCCTTGCGCGTCCTGTCCAGCTCCGTTAGTCGACTACCGCCCCCTGCTGGTCAGCGGGTGGTACAACACTCTGAGCTCTGCTGAGAAGTATTGATTCCATGTCCAGATGTTTTTATTCAGTTAATGTATTTATTAAAACACAAGCACACAGGAAACTATGATGATATGTTGAAGAACAGTATATGCTTTTCTCAATAATCATGTTTTAATCAGTGTCTGTTTACATTTGCACAGATACCATTTTCTGTGCATATAATAAAACTGGTTTATTTGCGGCTCTGCACACCACACAGGTTTTTTCAATTACACCGGCTTATTCTTGCGTTAGTCAGGTAAATGTTTGAGTACACTGTATATGCATGGTGGTCTGTTGGCCCAAGTTAAGTTTACTCACCAAGATATTCAGTAAATGTAAATATTTCAGGTCTCCATAACTCATCATTTGGCGTGCTGTTACTAAATCCAACACATTTTAAGTGTTGCTTTTATTATCATTTACATAATCTTTTTGTTTAGATTTAATTTATTTTTTCAATACTTGTTGTAGTTGTAGTACTTAAAATATAATCAATTATATTACGTGTCACTTTGTTGCCATCATTTTTTTTAAGTAACCATTTTTTAGAGTGTATAGGCTACACTTCAGTTAAGTCCCCTTGCAGTGAAATAGAAAGCTGTTAGTTACTTACATGCCAGTGACGTTACATGACAATGGTGACTCTTTAAACGCTGCCATGCCACCTTCAAACGGTTTGACACCGTTTACTCAGCACTTCATTTTATTTCTGGTGATCACTTTAGACCGCATCATTATATCGTCCCTGGCCGCTAACGCAGCTTTTGCTCCCATATGTTTAGTGTGCACAAAGAGCCTCATACGTTTCAAAAGACCATCAAGTAGAATGCCATAGTTTATTTTGGGCAAATTCAATAATATGTTTGAATAAATGTAATGTCATGTATTTTCTTCAAATTTTTTATTTGTTTTATTGTTTTATGATAATACAATTATTGTATGTAAGCATGTAACCAGGGCACCATTGGAAATGAGACATTGGTCTCAATTGGTTTAACTGAAAAATGTAACTAACATTTTTTTTTTAATCCCCTGGAAATTACCTGATGTAACCAAACTCTATGGACTAATAGCCTAAATCCTGGAATTAGGTTCAATATCAATATCAATCAAAGATTGAATGTAACCCATTTTTTAAAGAGTTATTCTTGAAAGAGTTTCCTCCACCATGCATGTGTACTGCAACGCAAAGCAGTTTACAACAAATGTTAGGCCTAAAAGTTGTATCGTATAGTATTATATCATGCATCCATGCAGGGTAAAATCCCATAAATCCATGCATGTGACAGAATGTTCATTCTGAAAGGAAATACAAGCTCTTGTTTAATTTAAATTCCACCCAATTTTGAATATGTTTCCTTCCATTGCTTTGCCATTTTCTCTGTCTGAAACAGAACATTAAAACCATGCATGTCTGCATGTGGTAGTAACCTTTATCATCCACCTCATGGCCTTGTAGATTCCTCCTTTGGGATTGAATTTGTGGAGGCAACCACAAAAAGCCCCGAATCTCAAGATGTACTTTGGATATTGTCTTCATTCCTAACATCCCCATACAACCATTACTGCACCTGTCAGACACATCTGGATATAATCTACTGATCCACATGTCAAACACTTCTCTGCACATTAGCAGACACATCTGTAGTTTGAGGGGCAGATTACAGTCGAACCTGATACATCCTTTGATGAAATTCGACAAATTCTAAGTCAGGTAGATCTTTTTATGCTACAGAAAGCAGACTTTGAGGAAGTTAATTTAGCTTCAGACCTTATTGCCTAATGTTAAAGGATATTTCCAAAAGAAACAACTTCAAATTTGAGCAAACTGTTTTCAACAAAATAAACAAAATTCAAGGAAAACTTAAACATGCTTTATGCAAATGAGCACTACAGGTTTGTAACTACTCCAATAGCATTCATCAATGTATAATTGGTATTAACTGAGCATTATGCTCCTCAAAAACCTTGTAGTTATTTTCTGAAATATTTTACCAGAGTGCACTCTAAATATATACTCTACATAAAAAGGAAACAACATAGCCTAATAGGGCTACAAGTTTTACAAATCTGTAGACACCTGCCAGTCAGTCTGCAACGAACCATACAGTTCATTCCACAGAAACCATAACAGGCCTATTTAAGTGTATTTTTAAGTAACTTCATATTGTTGAAAATGTTATTTGTAGAAATACCCCAAACTAAAACTAAAAGCAAATATTAAGTCCGTTTTCAAAGGAGGCTACCGTACTGAATCATGGGAAAACATGGTGTCCGACCAAAGAGTGCACTTGCTCAACGGGAACATACTAGTTACCTAAGTTCATCTTTCTTGTTTTAGTTATTTACATTTGATCCAAAATAAATAAATAACGTGTTTCACAGGGAACAACTTAATGTGGGTTTGTTACATTAAAGCCATACGTCGAGTCCAGCTAGTGGCGTCTGCGTAGACCTGTACTTTATTCTCCACTAGTGACCCATCTTCTCTCTTGTAGTGTCCCTGTCCCTCCACACAGTCCTGCCGTTGCTACTGAAGTTACCATTAGCAACTGGGCAGCGCGCGACTGAACAGCTTCAACGGCTGTTGATGGTGTCCTGGTAAACACAGTAGGTAGCTAACGTTACATTTCACTATGGCGGGTTTTATATACCAAGTCTGAATACCGTCAGATGGATTGGCTTTAGATATTAACTCTGTAAAGTATCTTCATGTATCGGGAGCTGTTGGCCCGGCTAGCTGAACGTGCTAGCTAGTGTTATCAGTAGTCTAACTAGCTTAACTAGTGTGTGAACCATAGCTACCCGGAGCATTATTCGCCTATATTAGTCACATTTGTGGACACTTTCCGCTAGTTTGTGGTATCGTAACAAATATGGCGAATACCCAACTGAGTATTGATCCCTGTAGCGATGATTTCTGTGTGGCTTTGTTATCTGACCAGCCGACAGCAGCACAGCGCGGCTAGGTTACTCTCAGTGGTGTCCGTGTATCAGAGAGTTAAGTCTGGTTTAATGTATGTTTGTTTGGCCACGCTGTTTGCGCCCTGAGGTGATGCAAGGTGTAAAAAGCGAGATATTATATTTCATGGCTACAGGTACTGTCAGCTACTACCCCCACCCTCCCACCCTAAGGTGGGTCATACTGTGGGCAGGTGTCCCACCACACAAGCCCATTAACAGCAATTAATTTGGAGGAATGAGATCCACAACAGTTGAAGGTCTGTAACAGATGGCCTGTCTAAGGGAAAAGTCACAGACATACACTGCATTTGAGGTAGAGCTCTCCAGAGGTAGAGGTGACGTTGAATTTCGGTGGGTGTGGCACATCTGAGGAATGGCATGCTAACTATGTAGCAGGACACAGTGTAAGTAGAGAGATTACTGATAAGAAACACTGGTCTAGACCTCCATCGGATGTGTTGGTCCTGTTTGTTGATACAGTCACTAGAGATAGGATAGATGTCGTCCTGTGAGACACATTATTGTCTGTGGTTTGGTTTATCGTAACATTTTGATATAGATTAAATGTCTTACGGTCTGCTCTTGAATCCTGCATTACAGTAAAGTGATTTTCTGAACTTATTTAACTGCTTTAGCTGAATGAACATTGAATGTATTTACATGCATGTTCATTATTGCTCACCTTAAGTTTAACTACAGTATTGTGTGGAAGACACTCTTTCTTTTTTTCAATGTCACATAGTATCATTGGTCTCTTCTTGTATTTTTTACAGGTACAGTAAGCTCTCCTGGACTTTTAGGCTCTTGGGATATCGGTGAGGCTCGCCATGGTTAACACGTAAGGTCGCAGTGAGTGGCGCTGCCATGTTGCCAGGAGTCGGTGTGTTTGGCACGGGCAGCACAGCCCGAGTGCTCGTCCCGTTGTTGAAAGCTGAAGGCTTTGAGGTTCATGCACTCTGGGGGCGAAGCGAAGAGGAAGCGTGCTGCTTGGCAAAGGAGCTCGGTATCCCCTTTCACACCAGCCGATCTGATGACGTCCTGCTGCACCAAGATGTCGACCTCGTTTGCATCTCTATTCCGCCTTCAATGACGAGACAGATCGCTGTCAAAGCACTGGGTAAGAGGTCATAAACACACATTCACTTTGACTGAAATGTAGATTTCTTTTTTACCTTTGTCATGCTGTCCTGTCCAAAACTCTTGGGCAAATTTTAAGTGTATAACTTGAACTTTTACCCTAAACATTTGTGCTAAGCCTACATACATTCACTCTATCATAATTCATAAAAACCTACTGCATTGAAATTAATTCATTTACATATAAGAATTCAGAATTCTTGTGTTCATGATGACACTCAGATAAGATCAGTTTTATTCCAAAAGGCCAAGTCTTACATTCCAGTTTCCACTGTTTCCTATATTACCAGTTACATGCCCAGCTGTGATCACACCCAGTTGGGCGTGGCAGGTTAGATCTGCAAAAGATATTCACTTTTTGACTGCAATGACATTACTCCCCAAAGGATGAATATACTGAAAATGTAACACATCTCAATGGGTTCATCCTTGAGATGTGATTAATGGTGATTATTCCCGTAATCTCAGGGAACATAGCAATTTGAGGGGGAAAGAAATAAAACAAACCTTACCGACAGAAACGTGAAATGAAAGCTCTCACATTTCACATTTGCTCGCAGCACATTGAAGCAAACATAACACATTGTCTTGTCAGAGGAGAGTTGATCCATAAAGTTAACTTACTGTATCTGATGGAATTCCTGAGTGTTGACCTCAGCTTCCTGTTTTAGTTGCAACTTCCTGAGTGTGTCCCCGCCAAAGGACTTGTCCACGGCAATACTTCCAAAGGGAACTCGTATATGAAAGCTATACACACCTTCTGTGCTGTCACAGAGCACTGAGACACTAAGTCTGCACTATATCTTCAAATCATAGTTGATATACACTCTGGTGCCATTTTAATACAGGTACATCCAGCTACAACAAATACAGTCTACTACAACAGTTTGGCAAAAGAATCCTACCTTTTTTACTGAAACTATTTAATCGAGGCATTGAATCAACTTGATGGCTTTATTGTGGAGGTTGCAAGTTGGTTTGTGATGCAGTTGAATTATATTGAGAGCTGTTTGTATAACATTGTCTGCCCTGATTGATATAAATGGAGGTAGGAACTTACTGAATGTGAAACCTAAATTGCAAATGTTTATGATACTTGCACGTTTTGTTTGGCAAGATAATCTTTACAAATTAACACCATTTTTAAAGCATAAATACGATTGCAAGAAGTAAAAAGACAACATTAGGATATAAACAAACTGCACCACGGTCGCACAACTTCACTACCGCTAAGCTTCCAACTTGAGATTTACAAACTGGATTTTGCTCGCCTACAAATGCCTTTCCTGAGTGGCGTCTAGCGTAAATCTAAAGTTTAAAAGTTTGCAAAAGCGTGAGTACAAACACAGCAAGGCTGTAAAGGCGGACTAGTGAGGAGATGAGTTTCTGTGTTTGGTGTAATGTCCTACACAACGTCTGTAGTCTCATTTGTTAGCAACCGCCTTTTTTAAGATTGGAGCGTAAAAGCTCCAAACGTGTGTTATTTAGTGTGTTATTTTATGTTCTCGAACAAAATGTAAAAATGTCTTTAGCCTTTGTTAATCGCAGACATTATTATAAGCATCTAACCAAAAAAACATTTTAAAAGCCATCATCTTCGAGACAAGGGAACCTGAAGTGCAAACATTCTGTAACTCATTTCTGGGTTTTAGGTCCTTTTACTGTAGCACTCTATTGAATTCAGTGCTATCTGAATAATGATAACCCCGGTCTTTCCCTCTCTCTTTGCAGGTATTGGTAAGAATGTTGTGTGTGAGAAAGCTGCAACTGCTGTGGATTCATTCAAGATGGTGACTGCAGCCAGATACTACCCACAGCTGCTCAGCATTATGGGTAATACCCTGCGCTTCCTGCCAGCTTTTGTGGCGATGCGCCAGCTGCTGGTGGAGGGATACGTTGGAGAAATGCAGGTGTGTGATGTCCGAGTCTATGGCCCCAGCCTCCTGGACCAGTCCTACGGCTGGACGTGTGAGGAGCTGATGGGAGGAGGCGGCCTACACACCGTCGGCTCGTCCATCATCGACCTTTTAAGTTATTTAACCGGTGCTCGAGCCCATCGTGTCCACGGCCTTCTGCGGACCTTTGTCCAACAAAACGGTTTGATCCGAGGCATCCGCCGCGTCACCAGCGATGATTTCTGCTTCTTTCAAATGTTGATGGGTGGAGCCGGGTCCAGCTCTGGTGGTGTGTGTTGCACCGTGACGCTAAACTTCAACATGCCGGGGTCATTTGTGCACGAGGTCATGGTAGTCGGATCCACCGGGAGACTGGTTGCCAGGGGGGCGGAGCTGTACGGTCAACGCAACGGGAGTAAAGGTGAGGAACTGTTGCTCGGCGACAGTGGGTGGGTGGGACCAGAGGTGAAAGAGATGCCCCTGCCTCACCTGCGGGGGCTGAGCTCCATGGTTCAGGCACTGAGACAGTCTTTTCAGGCTCACGAGGAGCGCAGGTCGTGGGCACGAGGACCGGTGGCCACGGCACCAACGTTCGAGGACGGCCTCTACGTGCAGACGGTGGTGGAGGCGGTGAAGCGGTCCAGCTGTAGTGGAGAGTGGGAGTGTGTTGAGATCATGAGTCAGGAGCCAGATCCCAATCACAACCTGTGTGAGGCTCTGCAGAGAAATAAGAACTAAATATTATATTATCGAGTATTTATACACCCAGTGCAACTTATACATGTCTGACAAAACTGGGCTCTGAATGTTTTTCCTTTAATTACCCATGACTACTTTTTGAATTTTTACATTCTGTCACATAATGAGCAGAATACTTTAATTTAGAAAACATGACTGTGTAGTGGATGTTTGTACCCTTGCAGTTATGGTTTGTTTGTACACTAAGTTTCTTGCCACAGCTCCATTATTCTGATTCCCATTTAAATAGCTACCTGTTTCCGTTCACACGTTTATTACCTTTGCCGTGCCAAACACTTCAACACAGTTGTTATTCTCACTGAAGCTTGAAGTCATGGAGTCATGACTGCACATTTCCTGCTAAATGAGGTTGATAAATGTGACCTGTAAGATAGGCACCACACCTATGTCAAATATTGGCCAAGAGCTAACTTCCATGGGAGTCAAAAAACAACCTTTCAATGGATGTCTGACCCTGTTCCTCACTTTAATGATCATATCTGGATACATTTCTGTATTTTAAGAAACATGCAGGTTGTTGTGTTTTACTGATAATCAGAGATAGATCTAATATGCTTATACTTCATATTTGTAATTAAACAAGAGCAAAGCTCTTCCTGAGGTAGCCACAACATGTTTGAATATTTCCTCTTTAAAAGGTTTTTATTTATTATTTATAAAGTCATCAGACCATCAGTAGTTAAAGTGTTTGCCAGAGTTTACAATTACACCAATAAATGGTCGAATGGGCATCAGCACAATCAAAACAAAGTTGTTAAGTTGGTGCACAGGCTTATACTTTCCTCTAACTGCCCAATTTTGGGCCATGACCAATTGTTGAGCCAAGCCATTAATTTAGTAATGTTTAGTAATGTGGCTCAGTGAAGGGCAAATGTGAGTGTGCAACCAAAAAAACATTAGAATTTCTGTTGTACGTAACATTTAGATTGAACATGAATAGCACCTTATTCTGAAAGGAAGTGTTTACCTCTGAAATGAATGTGAATATCAGAGCATGAGGGTGATTTGACTAACAAAACAGAATTCAAATGATGTTACATTGGAGCTCATCCTCTTTAAACTTCAGAATAATGGAGCTGTGCGGAGTTTTGTTTTATTTTTTTAATGGTTGATAATAAGCATCCAGTCAAAGATTGCAAGAGGGGCTTGTAGGTGTTTAAGTTATGACATAACACGGCATACATAAAATACCAGGGATTGAGTAAAATAAGCTATGTAGAAAACTGAATAATAAAAAGTCTAGTTTGTAGCATTGCCCCTCAAAATACCCAATCCTTAAAGTGATACCTAATCTTAAGTCTTTATTTTGGCTGGAAAGATATTTCCTTCTTCACAGACAGAACAGCTATCAGTGAGCTGGAAGTGTTGACTGCTGCAGTACTACAGTAATGACTTGTTTTCATCGTGGAAAAAGGATCTAAACCATCTAAACTTCTACCATATGTTCAATCATCATTTCATCAAAATGTACTACTACCAGGTATATATACACTACTGTAATGAGGGTAACGCAGTGTTTTTATAATATACAACGTTGGCTGGATTAAATGGAACATAGAAGGACAAAGGTGAAGTGGATTATGCCTCAGTGAAAGGGATTTATAGGAATGTTTGGTACCTGTTTTCCACTGTGTGAAAACCCCCCCAATGGTAAATTATTTAACCATTGACACTGACTGTGAAGAAGGAAACTAGCATCTTTTTAAAGCCACCTGTCAAGTTTACACATGAAGTTTACAGGATGAGCATTTGATGCTCGGATTATAGATTTTAAGGTGGAGTATCGCATTAAACAGAAACAGGCTTGTTCTAGAAATGACAGGTTAGTGACCTTTTATTGTTAAATTGTCGAAAGTTTTAGATGCAAACCCTGAGAGTATTTGACAACTAAATTTAGCTTAAAAGGTTTGTTTACATGTGCTATCCATTAAAGAAATGTAATGTTTTTATAGTTTATTGCGATCTATGCATTTAAAGTTATTACAGGAGACTCGATTCCCCCCCCCCCCCATCCCATACACCATTCATCCTGAAACCTTACTGATCTTTTCGTTGAGTAGAACCACTGGACTAATTGGCTCAGACCAAGAGAAGGAAGTGTGAAACAGTTTACGTTGTTGTTGTCACTCACTGCATCTCAGCACTGCTGAATATCCTGAGTAATATTGGGCCTCAGTGCTCTTACTGCTGAGTCAGGAGGTGAAGACAGAAACAGGGTGTTACTTTGATTTGATTGGTCTGTTCCCTTCTTAGGATGCATATACTTTACACGCTTACCTCACGCTATCCCAACAGTGCTTTACAAAAACAATGAATCGAGTTTACATTCAGTGTCTTTATGAAACACATCACATTTGTCTGCAGGATGTTTCCTTAACCCACCACTATTAAAATGCATTCCAACTAAGTTTTTACCTTCTTGTTGCTCTTGTTTTGTTTGCACTGATAACTGATAAAATGGCACATATTTAATATGCAGTGTGGTGCTCGCACTGGCTGGCTTACTGCAAAAATGAATTTACCGTGTCTAAGTGTATAAGGAAGACTTTTTGTATTTATTTATGTCTTGGTGTGGAATACGTTTCCCATCCTTTATTCTGTTCAGTGTGTGTGTTTTCAGCCTGTGAATTTCGGTTGTAATATTTATCTTGTTTAGAGTTAGTGTTGTTTTAATTGATAATATGGCTTTTTGAGCACAATGTGTTGCATCTAAGTTGGGAAACTGTACTGTTCATCTACCTGACAGATATTTCCTTAAATAAATACAGTTGTAATTATTTAGTGTTGTTGTTCAAACTTCAGTTTATTAATTTTGTAAAGACAAATATGGCCTCTACCTGCCAAGTCTTTGTGTATTGAAACCATAGAACATAGTTGTTTTTAACATAATCTAACATTTTGGCTCAGGTGAGTTGTGTCAGTGTTCTAGACTGAGCTAGCAGCATGCTTATCTTTACCAATAATCACTTTCAAACATATTTACTGCGTATTTAAATATGTTACATTATGCCTCGTCCCTCATCTCCATTGTTTCTCCATGGGAGCATTATGCTGCAGTCATGTGGGGATTACAGGATCTGATTGCTGCATATATTACATTCAAAATATATATTCTAATAGCTGTTAAGTACATTTTTTAATATCAGCTGTACATGTTTTTATTCCAATGGGACAAGTGAAACGTTACATGTGCCACATTACTGGTTTTAGCTTATAGTTACACATGCACATGTCATAATACATGAGCAAGAATTACCTGAATTACACTACAATACTGCTGTGTGGTACATATGGTTCCATATTTATAATCAAATTCATCCATTAGAAATCCATTTTTTTAACAAATGTGCAACAGACAAAGTAACTTAGGCTTCGATATTCAATTTCTGAAAAGGGATTATTTTATTTTCATTACAAATCATCTCATATTGGAAATGGGCATGGATGCAGGGAAAAGGGCGGAAGTTGTTCGTAAATGTTTCTTTTATGACAAGTTCTGCCCCACCCCGGAGATGACGTCTGGCGGCAGCAATGCATTGTGGGTCAAAATTCAGCAAGGAATAATCCGAATAAACTCCAAGCTAACGCCACTGATTCTTACTGTTGTCTGATTATTTTGTAACTAATGAGCAATGTAGTTTACATTATCTCTAAACTTCACCGATACGATGTTTAATATGAGCTAATATGAGCTAGCAGTTCTAATCTGGACCACTAAGGTTGATGCTGCGGATGATGGACCGGGGAGAGCGGTCGATACCGACCGAAAAAGAAGCGTCGTTTGGGGCTTTTTTAAAACCGTTGACGAAGCGGATACTGGAAACAACTTCTACCAACGGCCATGAAGACATGGAGACGGACAGTAAACCGTTCTCCTTCGGTATGGCTACCTTTATCGCACATATGCTTGCGGCTGTACACTTAATCTGCGTGATTGCGTGTAGCAATGTGGTATCAAATTATTTATTATTTAGCCCCACGGTTTGAAATCCTTTGTCAGGTAGTCTTTGATTTATTTGAGACGCTTGATTCACTGGTTCCCATTACGTTGGGCAGCTCCATAGCAGGAACAAGATATACTGAAAAATTGGATGAGGAAGAGGAGCAGACTGTTGTTGTTTAAGTAACGGATGTGATGCAAAAGTCCCGCCTCCCGGCTCTGATGTCCAATCAATCTCCTGCGACGTCCGCGCTAGTGTACACGAGAGAAGTTTGCTTATTTTAACCCCAGATATGATATTCTTATACCTAGCCAAGAAGGTTTGAAGCCTAATTTATACATCTGGAAAAAAGCTTACGCAAAGCTGTCGCAGAGATGCTGTATTACAGTTGTATTTTCTGATGTTGTGGCTGATAATCTCAATGTGGTTGTGTAGCACTCTATTACAGCATATTACATTACATCATCATTGCATTATTAATGATGAGAGGACAGCTTATTACCCTGATTGTCATTTTTTTCTGTCAAATCTATAATGATAAGAAGCCAGGAAAAGCAGCAGGTTATCATAATAGTGCTGAAATAAATGTAATATGTAATTGAAAATTAATAAACTCAACAATTTTGCTTTTAAATGAATTGTTCAAGTCAACAAAATGTACCAGGCAAAAATGGCAGATACTAGATGCTTCTCAGGTGTGAGGCTGTGCTGCTTTTCCAATTTTTCTTATTCCAATTGTATGACATTTTATATCAACGTATTAATCAATAATTAGCCGATAGTTGCAGCCCTAATTATACCTTTTTGTTTTCCTCTCATTTAGTGGAAGTGGCGCTGCAGGACGGAGACTCTGACACCTTTACCGTGGTGAATGAAACTGGTTTTAATTCTGCTGTAGACGGCATCCCAGAAGGTGCGCAAGGACATCCAGTAGAAGACATAACACATGAAGAGGCGAGTGACGATCGCCCTGTGAAACGTAGACGGAATAAACGCAGCTTGATTTGGAGGCACTACGAGGAACTGGACAGTTTGGCTGCTGCTCGTTGCTGCATTTGCATGAAGTTACAGTCCTTTGAAGGCGGCAGCACCAGCAACCTGCACCGGCACATGTCAAAGAGACACCCGGAGGTGTTTTCTCAGCTAGCAGCAGAACGGCAGCACCCACCACCACCACCACCACCACCACCCCACTCATCACAGAGCTCAGATGCTAATGGTGACAAACAAACCTCGATAGAATATAATCTAAACTACATTACAATATCTGCAGAATTTTGTTGACACTGAACAATTTTAGTTATGTTTAAGAATTATATCAACATATTAATCAGTAATGAACTGTTACTTGCAGACCTAATCATCATTTTGTTTTCCTCTTATTTAGTGGAGGTGGTTCTGGAGGATGGAGACTTTGACACCCTTAATCCTACCATGAACGGCATCCCGGGCGGTGCACAAGGAGGTCCAGCAGAACAAATACGGCATGAAGAGGCGAGTGAAGACCACCCTGTGAAACGTAGGCGGAGTAAACGCAGCTTGATTTGGAGGCACTACGAGCAACTGGACAGTTTAGCTGCTGCTCGCTGCCGCATTTGCATGAAGAAGTTACAGTACTTTGAAGGCGGTAGCACCAGCAACCTGCACCGGCACATGTCAAAGAGACACCCGGAGGTGTTTTCTCAGCTACTAGCAGACGGGCAGCACCCACCACCACCACCCCACTCATCACAGAGCTCAGATGCTAATGGTGAGGCATTGATGCCACCAGAGAACATTGGGGCGACAGAGAAGCAGAGACAGTTTTCTGGTAATGTATTATAGCTCACTGTTGTTTGTGTGTATAATTCATTCTGGTTTTTTCAAAGACACTTTGTGGAATAAGTGACATGTATAAATGTGTTGTTTTTACAAGAACCTCTGCATTTATTAGAAGACAAATGTTAAATGTTGTCTAAACACCAACCTAGATGAAATACAATCTAAAATACTCTACACTGTCTGGTCAAAGAATAATAAAGACAAGATTGTGAACCACATATTTGAGGCCAGCTTTCAGTACTTGACAGCATAAATACATTTTAGTTGGTACCAGAAGGTATCGAGGTTAGTTAGATAGCCAGCCCTGGTTTTATCTTGTGAACATTTAGTTTGAAACATCAGCCAGGTTTTTATCATCATGGCCAGAATTTTAACATACAGTTGGGTATGGTTATATAGTTCTCTCTGTAAATTTCCTTTATAGTCCAACTGGAAAAGAAGTAAATAGGAAGGTAAAGCATCGTCCAGCACATTATTTAAGTACCTGTGTTGTCATTTTTCTCAGTAATTTCAAGAAGAAAGCAATTTGGAATCTCAGCAGCCATAATCCCCGTATGTAAATTGAGTGGATGAATCTTCTACACATTTAAAATAATCAAATTTTTTTCTTAGATGTTTTCATTTTGTGGTTCTTCTGTATTCAAGATTGTAATGACACTAAACACGTGACCTTCTCTTTCCCTCTTCTTACAGGCTTGTTAAAAGTTTCTAAAGCGTCTGAAGGAGAAAAGCGTGTGTTCAGGAGAGAGCGGGAGCTGATAGAAGCTCTGAGGAGAGCGCAGAGAGAGGAGGCCCGGGCTCTGGAGCACCAGAGGGAGCTGCTGGAGAGGCTGCGTGCGGTGAATGCCAGAGAGGCGGCTGCAGAGAGGGAGCAGATTGAGTCACTGAGGACAGCACAGCTGGAGGAAGCCAAAGACTTGAGTAGACAGAGAGAAGAGGTACAGAAGGAAAAGACAAAGCTGCTGGAGAAATGGGAGGAGCTTCAGCAGGAAAGAGAAGAACTTGTCTTGTTTTCCAGTGGACAGCAAGCCTCCTGATTCTTTCACAATATGACGGTCGCATTGCTGACGTTCCTGATTTTAGATATTCTATAAAGGCTTTGGGACTAATGCAAATACATGTTGATGTAAAAATGTGAATTTTAGTCAAATATATTTTGCAAACAATCAAGTTGTTTTTGTTTCTGTGTTGCGCTGCTTCATCCTTCCTCTACTGCTCACTCTGGTCCTGTCTCATTGAATTGTGTGATGTCCTGATGTCCTCTTGCATCAAATACATAGAAATCTGATCCAGGAAGAAGCTCTCACTCCCCACCTCACACTGTATTAATTCATGGCTGCAACAAGCAAGTTTTAAGTGTATATAGTCGGCAAAGACTGGTCACAAAAAAATATGTGTTGTCTCTCACTCTGCAAGTCTGCAGGACGGGTTCAGAAGAATCTAAATTTAGTCTTATCACTCAGATGTGTAACTTTGCCATGAGATTAGAATGATGACAGTAGAAACTGACATACATCAGAGGGTGCCATGTAGTTACATTATCAATGTGAGGGCATGAAATAATCAAACTCATTTCATTTACCACAATTCACCATTTTGTCACTAACAATTGGTGTGAACCTGTAAAGAAACTCAATTGACCACGAGACAGACTGTACAATAAGGGAATGTTTTTGGTTGAAACAGGATGCTTATGCAATATATAATCATTTAAAGGTGTATCCACTGATAGATTTAGAGGCAGTTTTAACTTATGGTTAAAATATTTTTATACACCCATTGGAGCATCATTTGTTCTACAAGAACACGAGGTGATGTCATTAGAATATGTCTGTGCAAGAGAATAAAATAATTAGATTTCTCTTCTTTACTGAATTAATACATCACTGATGATGGTAGTGAGTGAGGCCAACTGTATCCTGAGTAACTTTGATATTGTTACGTTTTAGTTTTTCATGTTATTTCTGATGACAGAAGTTCCTGAGGTATATACTTAATAAATAATACCAAAACCAATGATTCATTATCAACTAGTCATCGCATCTAGTTGCATTGAATGCCTTTCTGATTTGTCATATGAACCTTACATTGTGCATATTTCTCACTTATATCACAGCAAACCTGAGGTATAGTACTATTTTAACACAAGATCACTGATTCACTTTAAGAGAAGAAAGGAATGAACCCATGAAATAAACACTTGTATCAGTCGCAAGTACATGAACGTACAACGCATGCGTCCAGCAAGCGTTTTGTTCCCAGAACGCGACTTCTCAGGTAGTGCGCCTGAGCTGCGACAGCTAGCCCCACCACCAAGGTAATACGTGGGTTCATATTAGCGATGGTTCAGGATAATGTTACGGTCTTGCTTGGGGTGAAGTTAACCCAATTTCAAAACGAGGAGTCCATGTGTCTTCTCCGTCGCCCTCTGAGCGAAGAGGGACCGCCTGACAGGCTAAACCCAGGGAGCACTCCCAGATGATGACGTGGGTCCTGAGTCGTCCAGTATCGGCGGCGGAAGATGGCGGACGGAGGATCCATCGCAGCGAAAAGATGCGACTCTGGCTCGCTGTCCTCTGCGAGCATGGAGACCATCTCAACGCTGACGGAGCTGGAGGACCTGGAGAGAGTTTACCGGAAGCTCTGCGCGGAGGAGGTTCGTCTAAACCGCCGTTAACGGCAGTTTGTTTGACGTGTACACTCCCCGTCGTCATCCACGTAAACTTCCGGGAGGCTGCTGGCTCAAAACAAAAACTCCACTTTGTTGAATGATGGCTGAATAAACATTGAACATGACTTGTCTTTGCAGGTTAGGGGAAAGGACAAAAATGAAGCAGCCCACACCGACCTAGAACTGGCACTTAGATATGTTAAAACGTGTTCTTCATGTCCATTGATAGGCTTCCTCTTTACATACAGCACAGATAGTTACAGTCTTTCAGCTCTAAGTGCATCAAATGTGAAACTTTTTAACGGATTGACAAGTATATCTGAGGAGATCCTCCCACTCTTGGTATCACACGCACAGTTGTGTCCATATGGTGGTTTTTTTTATCCATTGTTTGTGTCATTAAGCACATCAACAAAAGTAAAGAAGACACTATTGTACAGATGAAGCAAACACCATATGAAGTCAGGCTCCAGAAGCTTCAGCACAGTTGAACATGTTAAAACATGTATTGAAGTTGTAGTGATGTGCATGTGATCTGTGAAGAAGATGCTGAAAACACATTGTTTGTCATTACATGCTGTGTTTTCTCCTCTAATACAGAAAGAAGTGGATTCTGAGCTGGACAGACTGGTGGGACAGGAGGGGACCATTCACACAAAGATGCTGGCCCTGCAGAGGATGGGGTACAGTTTGTATAAATCAGTGTAGTTTCAAACGCACTCGATGATCAGCATGCATTTGAGCTCCAACCAACAAGAATCTTGTTCTGTTGTGTGTCTGTGCTCTGCAGGCCCAACCTACAGCTGATTGAAGGAGATGCCAGTCAGTTGTCGGGTATGATCACATTTACCTGCAGCCTGGCTGAAAACGTCAGCCGCAAAGTCAGACAGCTTGACCTGGCAAAGGTGAGTACATCATGTCTAAAACACGTATACGTTTCAACTGTTGCTTACGGTGTGTTAGAGGTTTTATTACAAGAACGCCGTACTGGATCTCACACTAAGGATCTTAGTGTTATTTTGCCTCTGTAGACACGGCTGTATAACGTCATCCAGCGCGCCGACGATATCCTCGATCTGAAGTTCTGCACAGACGGCGTGCAGACGGCTCTACATAACGAAGATTATGAGCAGGCTGCTGCCCACATCCACCGATACCTCTCGCTGGACCAGTCGGTTATTGAGCTGAGCAGGCAGGGAGAAGAAGGTACGAGGCCTCTAGTTCTCTGTCGTAGTGCTTAGCTCAGTACGTAGTCACTGCAGCGAAGACGGACTGTTATCTTTTTGTGTTTTTGTACTATTTTGACATTGAATCTGTCTGATCATTATAGGATTGTAGTTATTTATACAAACATTTCTCACTGCACTGTAAGTATCAATAAAATAGAGACAATACACATCCGGGCTTGCACTGTAACTCTGCCGACGCTTCATGTCTCCACAGGCAGTACTGTGGATGCCAGTCTGGTAATGCTGCAGGAGGCAGAGAAGAAACTGAAGGTCATCGTTGCCGAGAAGTTGGACGAAGCGGTTGCAGCAGTCGACCTCTCACAAGTGGAAAGGTTTTTCAAGATCTTCCCTCTGTTGGGCCTCCACCAGCAGGGCCTCGCCCGCTTTGGCCAATATCTCTGCAGTCAGGTCAGTTGTGTTGTTGGTCCGGTTTGAGTCTAGCTCAAAAGCTTGATTTAAGTTTGGTGGGAAGTTTATTGTGCAGATCCATGGATTGTTTTTAAAGGAATAAAACCATTTTGGTACACTTATTCCTTGGATCACAATGTGTATTTAGATGAAGATCAGATGGAGATTATGGATCCAGGAGCAGTGCAGCCTTGGTTTAGGTGCACACATTACGAGGGCTTCTTGATCCTGATGTTGTGTGTTGTGAGAGTGTCAGCTACATGTGGATAATGGCCTGCTCCATGAACAAAAAGAGAAGGCACCATGAGTTCATCTGATGTGTTATGATTGTAAGAAATTGTTGATCATATGAGATAGCAAATATAGTTGGTCAGAAATAAACATGTTTCATTTTTTTCACAGCTGGCCTCCAAAGCTGAGGAGAACCTTCTCTTGGCTACAGGAGGAGACCTGGGCGACAAGAGAGCACCGCTGGTCTTTGCAGACACTCTGACGCTGCTGCTGGAAGGTGAGAAATCAGGCCTGATTTTCTCTCTCTCTCTCTCTCTCTCTCTCTCTCTCTCTCTCTCTCTCTCTCTCTCTCTCTGTGCGTACATTTACCTTCGTCTGCTCTGAGTGGACTCCTCTGACGTGTTGGTGTGTGCTTACAGGTATTGCTCGTGTAGTTGAGACTCATCAGCCCATAGTAGAGACGTATTATGGTCCAGGCCATCTGTACACACTGATCACTCACCTGCAGCTGGAATGTGACCAACAGGCCCAGAAAATAGTCGACAAGTTCATCCAGCAGAGAGGATACCACAACAAGGCGAGTGTTTCACTGCATACCTGCACAAAACAATACAATTAGTCTTTTTTTGTCCACCAGGGTGGAAATTTGTCTTTGGCTCACCAAACAGAGACGGCAGCATAAAAAAACAGAAGCGGTTAGCAAAAACAGACGCATAGACAGATTATATTATACTATAACAGTTCATGTCTGTGGCTTAGGTCTACTCCGTCACTTTGTTGAGTGAGAACTCACTGTGAACTTGTATCCCTCCTGTAGTTTCAGGTCGTCCAGAGCAGCATGATGAAGAGCGTGCCGGGGGAGAGGATCGAGCCCAAGTATGTTTGTCTCAGCAACATCCTGCTCTCCTCTGTTATTGTCTGTGTGGTGTTGTTGTTTATCCGTCTGTCTCACACGAACAGGGAACTGGACCCTGTACTGACTGAAGTAACCCTGATGAACGCCAGGGCCGAGCTCTACCTGCGCTTTCTACGCCGTCGCATGTTGGCCGACTTTGAAGTCGGGGATGCTCAGAGCGTCACACAGGGTAGTTAAACATTGTGTGGTGATGCATGCACACGTTCCCTTTTGAGATGTGTAGCTAAAAAGCTATCTAGAATCTAAAATGCTATTTCTTTGCACATATTTGAACGTCCAGAGCATCAGCAGAACGTGGAGAAGCTCCTGAAACACTGCCTGCTGAGCAGGACGATGCAGGAGTTGATTGGCTACTATGTTCCAATGGAAGAGTACTACATGAGAGAGTCTGTCAACAAGGTAAATGAGTTTCATACAGTATATCTATATTTGACTAAATAATCCTAAAGTGACACGCTTGTATTGTGGGTAATGTAGGCATCATATTTTGACAAGGAACAATAATGCGAGGAATGATAAAGATGATATATCTGGTTTCTGCTGCTTTCTTTTTTTAAATATTTTTATTCTCAATGAAATGTTATCTATCACAGTTTTGCCTAATTACATTATGGTAGAAAAATAAGTTAAAGTACATAAAATGAATAATAATGATAATAACTTGACATTTAAATTTTTTTTAAACCCACGAAGAAAGTAACTCATTTGAGTTGTAGCAAATGAAATAACTATACTTCCACACATCTATCTATCTTCTAGGTGTCAGAAGGAAGCGGTAGTGATTCTGATTCTTATTAAGATTTTAAAGCTTACTTTGGCAAACTATTATATGAAATAAGTGCACATGTGTGAATGTGAGAATTATCTTATAGTTTTAATAACAACCTTTACAATGAAATAACTATGTGGTCCCTTTAAGATAACATGTTGTGAAAGTGTTGAACATTGAGGATAATAACAGTGTATTTCACACATTAAATGTCATCTTTATCATCAGAACATATTAAATTAAATTTAAAGAAATAATATTTTCCTCCACAGGCTGTTACTATGGATACTTATGAGAAGGGTCAGCTGAACTCCAGCATGGTGGACGACTGTTTCTACATCGTGAAGAAGTGCATCAGCAGAGCTTTATCCAGCTCCAGCATCGACTGCCTCTGTGCCATGATCAACCACGCCAACTCTGTGCTGGAGTCTGACTTCAGGTGCTCACTCTGTCACTTCACAGTTGACATGTTCAATACTTTCTTTTTTACACTTCTTCGCATCTCACGTCTCATTTATGTGCCCCCTCCTGCCCTGTCTCTGTGCACCTGTTAGGGAGGTGTTGTATAATAAGCTGCGGCAGGGCTTCCCGGCTACGACGCTGCAGGACATCCAGCGTGGCGTCAGCAGTGCGGTCAGTCTAATGCAGAGCAGCTTACAGCAGGGCAAGTTCAACACAATGGGCATCGAGAGCGCTGAACACGCCAAGGCGGCATTTCTGGTAAGATGCACAGACAAACGGATAAACGTGTATGTCCCAACCTCGCTCTCAGGCAGCATGTCAGACATCGTCGGCCAGACTAAAAATACAGCGTCAGTAATTTAAGTGAGAAATGAAACGCATGAATAACCTCAACCTAGTTTAAGGGAGGTAATGTTTAAAATGGCTCTTGAAGGAAGCACTACTGCAAAAACCTTTTTCAAGAAACACTTAAAGGTTTATAGCTACCAAAATAATTCTGCAGACTTTAACCATATTGGCTCTTTGTTTTTCGTTCTATATTAGGTGACTCTGAATAACGTTGAGGTGTGTAGTGAGAATATCACAACTTTAAAGAGGAACCTTGAGGTAAGTTGCTCATCTGTGCTAGCTCTCTGCATCTATTCATCCTGTCATTTATACTTGACCTCATTGCTCGGAGATTTACTTCTTCTTCTTTTTTT